CATGTTAAAGCTTATCTGCCATAGTTTACAGGAGGGATTAGACTGCCCTAAAAGGTCACTGGACAGGTGGTTATCTCATCAACTCAGCTCTCAGTTAACATAAGAAAAAGAGGATCATGGGGGACCAATGGTCACCGATTAGGCATTGTTTGTCATATAGAGGGCACAAGTAGCTACAAGTAGTGCAGAGGGCCTTTAAAAAGCATTACTCAAGGAATACTTTGCCTTGAAATGTCATAGTCAATTTGTCCTGAGTTCTGGTCAACTTCTAGAGACCTAATTCTGTTACCCTGTGATATCACTATTTATAGATGCCTATTCATCCAGTATTGCTGTCATTTTATTCTGCTCCCTAGATACTAGTAATCTGTAAAGACTTCCAAAGCCTATCTGTAAAGAGACGCCATAAAGCCCCCAGGCATCCACAATCAATACATGTGGATTGCAAGTGGAAAAGAGAGCATCTGGAATCAAACAAACACAGCTGTAAAGATTTTGAGACAATCTTCAATCATAAGATTCATTATCTAATCATATTGGGTATTAAAAAGTGCAAACAATAAATTAGCATCTCTATGAGGGGATAAAATTGCCATGCAAAGGATGTTTAGTAACGTCTGAACTGTGTTTTAATATATATACATGTAGTTTGTATTCAGCAACATGACTAACATACTTCAAACATTATTGATATCACAAACTAGGTATTAATGCAAAAGGCCCAGCAGGGTTGCATTAGTTGTGATATTGAAAAAGAGATATAATGTGGGAACCATAATGAACACACATGCTCACTATCTGCATAATTACTGGAAGGGTGCATTTGTTTCGCAAAGATGTTACTAATGAAATCATTTCAGCTTAGTTCTGAAGAAGACTAGCTGAGACTTAGAATCAGACAATGTCCCAGACAAATATTGTATATATCAAAACAATAGATTTAAGGCCCCCCCCCCCCTATGATCTCGGCCGTGAAACGACCGATCACCGCAAAAATTTGCATACATGTCAAGTGAAGTGTATAGAATACTATGGTAATTTCAATTTTTTGAAAAATTCACTCATTTGTATATTTATGGTAATTTATGCAAATAAGGTCATCAAATTCACATTTTTGCTCAGAAATCAGACATTATTAATATTTAAGCATTCTTTCTCACTACATATATTTGTTAGACCATTTGGAATAATAATACAACACAAAAAATTGAAAAACCAGGGTTATCCCTTATGTTATCTATTGGTTTGATAATTGCTTATGTATTTCTTTGTTTTTTTAACTTATGTATTTTATTGCTTTTGTTGTTTTATTTCATTTCTAACTATAATTCAACTATTTTGACCCCAAAATTAACACCTAAACTTTAAACAAGACCAAATAACCAATGTTTTATCTCTTTATTTGAAAAATGAGATTTCCATATGTTTTGTACACAAATAAAAAAAAATGAGCAATTTTCGGGCTGACATGCAAAGACAAAAGGACACGTGACTTTGTGATGGTAGGTTCGAAAAAATTTCTTTCAAAAGATGCGCAAGACTCAAAAGAAAAAAGTCACAAAATTTCAGTGCAAGATTTTCTTGCGTTAAAAAATGATCGCGAAAAATGTCGAGGGGGGGCTTCCAAAGGCCCCCCCCCCCCCCCCCCCGGGCTAAATAGGATTGACAACAAAAATAGTACTTTAATCAGTTTTGAATCTCTAATACATGTGTACATTAAGTGGACAATCAAATTTTGTTGAGAAGTTTCTGACAGGCCATGTAGGCTACGTGCTGTATCAATTTGTAAAATATCAATTAAGAGGGATAACCCCCTCCTCCTAATTTCTGCAAAATCTTAACAAGAAATTGCATGTAAAATTTTGGCTAACAAATGAGTGTGCATTTCCTCATGTAAATATCTTGGCAAATCTAATACCGAGGAAGACACTTCTACAGGAATTCAACCATTCATTGGCAATACAGTACAACACATTACCATCTACTGAAGATCGCATGTTCTAAACCTAGACAATTTAAAGTAGTCACCCAAAGAATCAAAAGTGTTTTGAATTGATGCAAAATTCATATCATTGCGAAGGGGAAGCCTTACTGATCAAATATAACAACTTCTCTCTTCAAAATATGTTCAAGGCCTGCAGTAATCAGCTCTCAAAAATGTTAATTTTGAGATCCAGATTTTCTGCCTTTAACGGTCCTCCATAGAGCGTCAGGATTTGTGACGTCATATATGCAAGACAAAGCTAGCCACAAAATCCCATTTAAAGCCTTTCCATTATATCTACATGTACATGTATATGATTTTTCAGCAAATTCTTTGTGTTTTTCAAGAGAAAATCTTTCCATCCATATATAATTTGTCCATAATTATCAGTTTTCTTTGGATGACTACTTGTAAGCTTCAAGGCAGCAAACCCCAATCATGTACAAGTCAATCCACAATGAATTCATTTATACATCATCAGATCCCCTGGGTGCCATTCCATCTAAGAAAGCTCTGCGTCGTAATCTTAGAAAATCATGAGATACACTGGCTGCAGGTATTTACAAAGTAATGTAGATTTCAAACACAAAATCAAATGCAAAACAGCATTTCAATCCACTTTGATTAGAATATGGACAGTGATAAATGATTGCTGCAGGCCTTAATTTCAGCAAGATTATGTTTTAGTTATCAAACTGGTAATGTATACCTTGCTGGAGAAAAATGAGTGTGATATAGTCTCTTTGAACAGAAATTTCTAAACTAACACTACGCTTCGTTTAAATTCATGCTATCAACAAAAGTGTTAGATTGTTTCTTTCAATATCCAACAGGCATACATACATGTATGCAGTTGTATATTAATAAGAGTAAAATAAATGTGAAAATTAATATCAAAAGTAGCAGTATTCATGAGGACTGTATTGCAATTTGCTTGATAAAATATATTTTCTCTTGAGAAATACAGTGTGTATATCATTTATGTACAGTACATGTAACTGAACAGACAATTACAAAATGCCATCAGAAATGACAATTTCAGAGCAATGCGACAGTTTATATCTAGTCAAATCTACTATATTATTTAACCAAACATGACATCTCCATCAACTAGAATCTGGAAATTGTGTGCATATCATCAAGGATTATTAAAACATGAACTCACTACGTGTAAGACCACAGGCATACAAGACATGCTTATACTCTGGACCGACTAGTAGCAATGTTTACATAGACACTTTTACATCTACTGAAGACAGTTAATGTCAATATTGACATAGCTCGTGTTTCTATCTGAAGGGTCTGAAATTATATGAGAGGGAGGATAGACAGGGAGAGGGAGAGATAGAGACAGAGACAGGTAGAGATAGAGGGAGAGACAGAGACAGGGAGAGGGAGAGATAGAGATAGAGACAGAGACAGGTAGAGATAGAGGGAGAGACAGAGACAGGGAGAGGGAGAGATAGAGGGAGAGACAGAGACAGGGAGAGGGAGAGATAGAGGGAGAGACAGAGACAGGGAGAGGGAGAGATAGAGGGAGAGACAGAGACAGGGAGAGGGAGAGATAGAGGGAGAGGCAGAGACAGGGAGAGGGAGAGGCAGAGGCAGAGACAGGGAGAGATAGAGGGAGAGACAGACAGAGACAGGTAGAGATAGAGGGAGAGACAGAGACAGGGAGAGGGAGAGATAGAGATAGAGACAGAGACAGGTAGAGATAGAGGGAGAGGCAGAGACAGGGAGAGGGAGAGATAGAGGGAGAGACAGAGACAGGGAGAGGGAGAGATAGAGGGAGAGGCAGAGACAGGGAGAGGGAGAGATAGAGGGAGAGACAGAGACAGGGAGAGACAGAGGGAGAGACAGAGAGAGGGAGAGGGAGAGATAGAGGGAAAGACAGAGGGAGAGACAGAGGGAGAGACAGAGGGAGAGACAGAGAGAGGGAGAGGGAGAGACGGAGACAGGGAGAGGGAGAGATAGAGGGAGAGGGACAGATAGAGATAGAGGGAGAGACAGAGACAGGGAGAGGGAGAGATAGAGGGAGAGACAGAGACAGGGAGAGGGAGAGATAGAGGGAGAGACAGAGACAGGGAGAGGGAGAGATAGAGGGAGAGACAGAGACAGGGAGAGGGAGAGATAGAGGGAGAGACAGGGAGAGGGAGAGATAGAGGGAGAGACAGAGACAGGGAGAGACAGAGGGAGAGACAGAGAGAGGGAGAGGGAGAGATAGAGGGAAAGACAGAGGGAGAGACAGAGGGAGAGACAGAGGGAGAGACAGAGAGAGGGAGAGACAGAGACAGGGAGAGGGAGAGATAGAGGGAGAGGGACAGATAGAGATAGAGGGAGAGACAGAGACAGGGAGAGGGAGAGATAGAGGGAGAGACAGAGACAGGGAGAGGGAGATATAGAGGGAGAGACAGAGACAGGGAGAAGAAGAGATAGATGGAGAGACAGAGGGAGTGACACTGGGAGACAGGGAGATTAAAGGATGAAAGAGAGATGCAGATCAGGGGATAAGACAGCTCTAGACAGTGTTTAGAAAAAAACAGGGAGGGAAGAAAAAGTGACAAGGGGATATAGAGCTGGATAATTACTGTGTGTTACAGAGACAAGTGAGACAAAGAAAAGAGGGAAGGCAAGTGGGGAAAAGATAATTATATTTGTGTGCAGCAGAAGCAGGTAGACAAGAAAAATAAAGGACAGGAAAATGACATAAAAACAATAATAGAATGAATAACAAGTAGAGGAGAATAAAAAAATACTTTGTGAAATTAAATGCAATTAAATTCCCTGATCTACCGCTGTTATGGTATGTAGGTTTCCAAAAAATACAAATGTACAACACTTGCTCCTGCGACAAGGGCTCAGTGTCAATCCCCTACATTAACATTCTTAACTTCAACCCTGGAACAAAAACTTTACCTAACATTAACCCTAATCCTTTAACCCTAACCCTATACCTTTGAGGAAATAGAGCGCAGGAGCAAATGTCGGGTCACCTCCATTCCTTTCCTGTACTCACCCACTGTAAAGAAGGATAGGCTTCCATTCAGATGTCCAGTGACCAGCTTTCCAATCTGCTTGTGATGCAATCGGACTAGGGTGACCTCTGAACCAAAGTTAGCTGCTTCCTTGTGAGGGGTGATGCTGTTAGCATGCTGCATGTTCCAGACTAACAATGGGCCACGCCCGCTGCAGAAGCTCAGGATGTTATCATCCACCATGGACCAGCTGAGAGACGTAGGGGTAGCTCTCGTCCCCTCCAAGGAGTATGCAATCCTCTGCTCCGAGACATGCCACACGATGATTCGGTTGTCTGTTCCCGATGTTGCGAAGAGGTCAGAGTTTTTAGGGTGCCAAGCGAGGGCTGTGATTGTCTTGCGATGCTCAGCTACGATGGAGTGCAGTTTGAATTCATTGTAGACCCTATCCAGCTAGAAAGATGAGAGAAGAAGAAACAAATATATTTCATTTAAATAAAGTAAAATAGTAATCGTTTGAATTGTCATGAAGGATTTAATGTGGTGTGATTAACATTAAAAGATAATCTGTTTACTTTCAAAGTATTACATACATTACATCACACACAGGTTCTTTTGAAAGTTAAATTCTGCTTCATGCTCCATTTCTCCAGTTGTTGAATGCCACGGTTCACCCATGTCATGTCTAAATAATGCTTTAAGGTAGTGCTCTCCTGGAACTTGGAAGTGAGGTGGATTCATTGTTCCTGCTGTCATTATTGCATGATTGAAGCAAATTATGTAACATTCCCTGACAGACAAAAACAATTAATGAGCAAACTATAATGCCCGGCTATATTGGGAAAGGCAACCTTAATTATTGTGACATTATGGTCTTATGGACTATTTATCCATTTCTACTTTCATGTTTGATCTAGTCAATGAAAATTTCCCTCATATTTTGATAGAGTACTGTGATATTATAGAACATAGCTATTCCACAAGACAAAAAGAAGGTGGACAATTACGTCTTACAAAATTAAGAACCACACAAGGTCAATTTTCATTGTCTTTTGTGGGCAGTGAATTTTGGAATTGATTACCTGTTGATGTCAGATTGACAAGGTCTAGAAATAGGTTTTGGAATTCTGTTACAATTAAGTCATTTGTTGAACAAGTTATGAATGAAATATCAAGTGTACACAATTCATAATTCATATTTTACATTATTAGTTTGTATATTGTAAGAAATTGTTGAGTACTGATTCTTGTTTTTGTTTTTTTAAGTATCGATTGTAAAAGTAAATTCATTTTTTTTTTTTTTTTTTTTTTACGTTCTCTAAAGTGATTTGTACCAAAATACTTTGTTTAGCTGTTTAAGGGGTTAGGCTCGACTAGCACATGTGCTATTATCTGGCCCCTTTTACCAACCAATGGTTTTTCTTCTTGTTTATGTAAATTATTGTATGAAATGTATTGCTGTTGGTAAATAAATCAAATCATAAATCAAAATCAAATTTTCATATTTGTCATATATGACAGACTGTGACTAACAAACTTGAGCTGAGACTTACCTAGCTGAGAGAGATTTAGTACGGAATTTATGGAAAGCCTTTGAATGTAGGCCTGTGTTTTTAAACTTTCCTGATGAATTCTGTATGGACTATACATGTAAGTATACAGGCTTTCACTACATCATACTTCATCTTAGTTTAATACCACAACAGACATTCATATATATACCTATGTTGATGGATTAAATTCATTTACAGCGGTGAGTGACAACAAGCAACTGTGCTAATTCAATAAATCTACCAATCAAGCACTTAAATCTCTCATATCTCCCTCAAGTATCCTCTACCTTCAAAATTAACCTTTTCACTCTCATCCATTTACACCCCCCCCCCCTCCCCCTATGAGGGTTGACAATACATTTCTCTCAAAGAGTTAGAGGTACATGTACTACATGTACATGTATGTCCCATTTGCAGGCCAAAAAAAAGGAAACGTTAAGTTCAAATGGCATTTGAAAGATAATACTAGTTTAGAACTTCCCTCAAAATGGCAGGCCTTGAAAATGTATATACATGTACATGTGTTAAGTGGGAAAGTAACGACAGTTAGTTATCAAATTGAATAGAGGGAGCACGCTCGTCTTATTTTCAGACCCTTATACTGAATGTATGTTATTAGGCCAAATAAAAAAAAAACATGTTTAGCGTCCTGTTTTTTCAAAAAATAGGAAGGAGGCCCTTTTTTTTCTTTCAAAATGGCCGCTCAAAATGGCCGCTCAAAATGGCCGCTCAGAATGGCTGCTCAGTACAATTTCCCTGACAGTCGGGCTATTTTTTAAGATGGCCGCCAACATTTTTTTTAATTTTTTTTTAATCAGAAATGGTTCCATTTTTGGAGTGTTTTTCATGTTTTTTTTCTTTAAATTTTTTTTTTTTTTTTTTTTTTTAATTTTAAAAATAGGAGGCGGCCCCCAAAAAGGAAGCGGGCGGGGACGCTAAACATGTATATTTTTTTTAATGGCCTTATCAAAGAAAAAGAGAAGTCATACTCAATACTGACAGTAAAGTCTAGAAAGTAAACAGGTTTCCTTGCATAATTTGAATATTAGCTAGACACTGCTGACGTTTAAATTTCACAGATAGGATATACATGTATGTGACATATTCATAATTCCTGCAAAGTTCTACAGAATTTGATGACATAGTGGCAAAAGGGATACTACCTTTAAAGGTAAACTGCTAAAGACACGCTCTAATAAAATAAATTGTAATTTCTGAGAAAATAGAAATTTAATGCACATTTTTTATACAGTGTGATGAATTTAATTATTTAATCTACTAGAGTGATGAAAGAATGCAAGTCATGTAGTACAACGTTGCAGTGCATTCAATTATTTATAAATCCAATAGGCATATTAGGCACCTCATGATTAAAATAGAGCAGTAGCAGTAGAACAGTGTAGTTTCACACACACAATGCAGGCTTTACTTGACAGTGAATAGGTTTTCAATTTGAATGTTACCCTGTACCCTGAAGATATGTTACATGTACGTGTATATGCTCAATTTCATGTAAAAGGCCAAAGTCTGAATAAATGGTGTTGCTGAGAGGGGCAATTTGAGATCAGCTCAGAAAAAAGTGTCCAGTTGTTCAGACCAAGTGTTATGGGGAGCGGTCATTTAATTACGCTGCCCCTGCACTTTTGACCAGTATCTCATCTCATAAAAAGAAAGCATTTGCAATTTATAAGTTTAAAATTACTCCCCTTAATTATAATGTTCTTGTTTAAAAAGCGTTTTGACTGAGTTACAGTCTGGCATTAACAGCCCCTATTTCTCCCTTTCATATATCCTTCTTCCTTTAAGCGCATGGAGACACTACGGCAGTGATATGTGTTATATAAGCACTGTAGTATTATCATTATCATTAAGGGTGCAGTGATGTACCACTGTGCACAGGATTAAGTCTACATGTCTAAGAAGCAATGCATTTCAAACCTACACTCAAACATCAAGCATCAAGCAGACAAATTGATAGTCTGACAAAAGCTTATTGCTTTTAACAGACAAATTCTTGAGCCTCACTTGGATGATTTTGTGCAGCAACTTCTGAACAAAAAAATCCAATCACTAAACAATAGATTCCACATACTCCAACATACAAATATAGTTTTCATTGTGATACAAAAATTGTATGTCTACATACATATGCATGTAATTTACATGTACTTGAAAATACTTGCAAAATGATTTGTTTTTTGTTGTTGGTATGGATACCAAAACTCAAGAAAATCTGAAGAGCTTCAATCAAATATTGACATCCAATTTACGAACATGCTACAGGTAAGAGTAAAACTCAAACATTGTTCTCTTTGTTCTCTGTGTTTTGTTCATCAGTTTGCTCTTTCTATCTCATCTATCCCCCACCCCTTCTCTCTCTCTCTCTCTCTCTCTCTTAATCTGTATTTCCCTCTGTATTTCCCTCCCTTTCTCTTTCGTTTCTGACTTGTCAACGATGTTTAAAAATTCTGGGTTTCTAACTGATCCTTCTAGAAATATTAGCCCTTTTCATATCTCTCTCTCTCTCTCTCTCTCTCTCTCTCTACATTGTACGTGTACCTCTCTCTGTCTCTCCCTCCCCTCCCACTCCCGCCCCCCCCCCTCTCTCTCTCTCTCTCTCTCTCTCTCTATGTATGTCTGTCTGTCTCTCTCTCTGTATGTCTGTCTCTCTCTCTCTGTCTCTGTCTCTATCTCTCTCTCTCACTCTCTTTCTCTCTCTCTATGTATGTCTCTCCATCCCTCTTCCTTTCTCTTTCTATTATTTACATGTCTGTCTGCATATTATATCAGGTCACACATTTTCCTCTTATATTTCCACAAGAGTCTGCAATTCTACACCATCTCTCTATCAATATTTGGTGTAGCCAAGCTGAACAAAAACAGACCTGGTTACCATGGATACCTAATGAATAGCTCAGCTCACACATGTGAATTTCTTCAAAAGTGATTCCATTTATAACTACCGGTACATTTATCACACTGCAGTGAAGGCTCAGTGAAATTTCCCCGACAGTGGTCACTTACAGGATGGCTCCTAACAAATGGCCTCTAGGTGAAGAGCCTACATTTATACAACGGCAAAAAATTCAGATCCATGGGTCAATTACATATATTAAAGGCCTACATGGAAATATTATCTCCCATAAATGAAGAATTCAGCAATTTGGGAACATTGATACTCTTGACTGGAGGACATGACATTTGAAAAACCCAACTTTGGGTAATTGTTGTCAATCAATATAAATCAAAGGATCATAGGACACAAGAGTTGCCATCACTTCAGCTCAAACATTTTATGTTAGTTGCTTTAAAGCCTGTTGTCCTACTTGTAGCTACTTGCTCCCTCTATATTTAAAACTTCCCCAATTGGTGCCTGTTGGTCCCCTATGATCCTCTTTTTCTTATGTTAGTTGAGAGCTGAGTTAATGAGATAGCCACCTGCCAGTGCGGTCTGATCCCTTCTGGCCCAGTAGTATTGACGGTCTTAAAATGCTTTTTTTTGGGGGGGAAGGGTGCAACGAAATAAACCATTTAATAATTAAAATCAATGACCCTCACCGAAAAAGATATTACGTGTATATATATCTATAAATAAAACAGATTTTTGTTCTTTTTCTCATGGTTTTTTTTGTTGTCGCTGTGTACCGGGTATTGCTACAGTGTAAGGCTAGGCATCTTGTGGCATTTGTGATAATATGTAAATGTAGCTGCCAATCTGTCAAAATAATGCACTCTTATACTGTACATTCATTAAGTATTGAAGTGTTGCTACTATTGATCCAAATGAGATTTTTGTCATGTACATTAGGTCGAGTCACATTAAAAAAATATCATTATCACTGAGACTATACACTTTACACTGATTTGATCCAGAGATTAGATGATTTTTTTTTTCCTTTGAATTTGCCGAACATCAACAGTCTACACTTTTCAAATGATTCTGATATTTTAGCACATTCTTATATTTGTTGCCATAGGTTTGGCATTTTCTCTTAGCACAGAAAGGATGAAGCTGATCACAGCATAGACAGGCATACATCATCTATCATGGGCAAGTGATCAACAAATGGTCGTTTATGCCAAGTCTGATAAATAATGAATAATTCTGGATTTACATACTTCTAGCACTCAGTACAAATTAAAGTCACCAAGAACTTTACAGATAAATTGATTATGATGGTGGTTGTGGTGGTGGTGGTGGTGGTGGTGGTGGTGGCGGTTGTGGTGGTGGTGGTGGTGGTGGTGGTGGTGGCGGTTGTGGTGGTGGTGGTGGTGGTAATTAAACTAATTATGTAATCAAATCAGTGTTGACAACAATATGACACTACCGGTAATCATTATGACAAAAAAGTTTGTAACAGAGATTCATAAAATCAGGGACATTAATTACAATGGTTGTTTAATGTCATGAAACTATCAATTGTTGAAATGTCAAGCTTTTGTGCCAGGCTGTCATTATGACAATTCTGCATATATACGAACATGTATGTGCATATGTATTTTTCAACCACAGCCCCCCCCCCCCTCCCACCCCGGAACATGATCCAAAGTACAGTAGAAATCAATAAGCCACTACGGAGATACGATCTGCACTTGGGCAGACAGATTTAAAGGTCATTTGTACAAATCTGTAAAAACCCATCAAGATGATTGCTGGATATGTGTTCATGAAAGTTATAATGTAAACATTATTCATTTATGCACCCACGGTACATTCTATGATACACCAGTGGAAGTATTGTTTTCAAGAGGACAAACAGAAGGTATTCATGAAGCACCTCCATCACTTTGGCAGTGATTATTCTAAAACTGACTGATTTTTTTTTCCTCTCTGAAGTGGTCGTCTATTCATGTGCAAAAACACAGTATCAATTCAAAACATGTGTCATGCATTTGCGAATTTTTCTAATTTACTTCAAACTTTGTTTTTAAAAAAAGATAACATTTTTTTTAAATAGGGGGAAAAAAGTCAAATTCAAAGCACTTCTACATTTAAGAATCTAACTTTATACTTTAAGCGTATAGAGACATATTTTGTATAATGCGCTATAGAAATATAATTTATTATCATTATTATTACAAGTTGTATGTTTTTCTAGGTTTTCTAGATTTTCCTACCACACTTCGGATTTGATTTTATCTTATGACTGTGAAATTCATCAAGCTGATAGCACTACTAGAGCTTGAATCAGACAAAACATAAAATAAAATAATATGTTACCAGTAACATACATCCAACTTGCTCTTCTTCATTTCCTTCTTAGGGTAGTCTTAAAACTAGACACTCATTTTATACTTCACTTGCTTCATTTCACACTTGCTGTACAATGTACAGTCGGTACATGTAGTCTTAAAGTAAAAAGTAAATTTACATGCTTCATTTGGTGCTTATTTTTCTTGGTTATAAAGTAATCCACTTCCAACTGACATTGCAAGTACAAATACATATTATATCCTGGTATAAATAAACAATGAACGTGCAATGTAATGGGGGGACCTAAAGCTTTGTAATCAGGAGCTCTACCATAAGTCATTTAGTTTGGTGGTGGAGGCAAATTTCTTCTACTTATCTTGGACTTACGTATCCGAAGTTAAATCATTAGAAAATTACGACAAAAAATGTATAACAAACATTTTCAAGTCAATATCCTTGCCTGTGTCAAATTTTGGGGGACAAACTGAAAGGGTCTTTAAGCTACACATAAATGTGTATACTGTACATGTTTGTATTTAATAAAGAGATGCAAATCTGCATTTTTAAAGGGACTTGGTAACATTGTTCAGATGAGAGAATATGGTGCTAAGTAAGTGATTTCAATGCTAGATGTAAAATTAAAGATAATCTGAAAGTTTGAGTGAAAACCGACCATTATCAATGATACAAATTGGGAAAAACTGATCTGATCGATTCCAGAATTCTAATTCTATTCAATTTGAGGTGAATGTAAATCGTCACAAAGCAATGAATTAGCTCTGTACCATTCCAGACATTTAAGTGTCGAAAGATTTGTAAAAGCCTGTTTTATGTCTTATTTTCATGGAAAAACGGTTGGGAGAACTTACTGTTAGAGGGTGTTGCACAGTGACGCCTTCAAAGAAAACCATAAATATCTTTGTGGTTTGAGAATTTGTTCAGGATTTTTTGCATGTTAGAGGGTAAGTACAGTAGAAGGAATATAATAAGTAACATTTCATACAAAAATTACACATTTTTTCATCAACCTTCAACAATGTTACAGAGTTACTTTAAGCTGACGGATGGGAAGTTCACTCCAATTTCTATCTACTGCTAATTTCACCCCCCCCCCCCCAAAAAAAAAATTGAAGAAAAGTAACTAATTCTTTTTGGCAAACCTCGATGGAATCCTCATTGCCCACTCACATCAGGAGTTTTGTGCACTAAACATGTTGCATGGGGTGCATTAGCGGGGTGTGCAAGGACCCACATAGCTTTAGGACCTTCTACCATACTTGTGGGCTTGTGGCAATGTTATCCTAGTCATAACTTGTGATTACAACATTGAAAGGAGCACCAAAAACCTGTGCTGGTGTCAATGACCCCCTATGAGCAAAGTAAACCGGAAAATTAATTTTCTGCCACCTTCCCCCTCCCGCCAAATAACCACCACCACGACCATGAACACAGTGCTGTATCTTGATTAATTTCAAGCCGAGCACGTCATCTTGGGGCTCTTAGCTTACCTGGTAGATATAGACAGCTAGAGTAGCACAGTATGCAAATCTATCTCCTGAGGCAGCACAGACATCTCTGTTCCATGGCTGACAGCCTGCAGCTAGTAAGCTTGTCTGTCTCATCGTAACGTGTCTCTATGCTTGATACATCCTTAAACCTGCTGCTGGTGGTCCCTGTAATAATAGAAAAGTGCCATTTGAAGTTAATTTCTTCATTTGTTCAAGTCAGTAAGTAATATCTTTGACAAATGAACAGAAAATGTGTAACATCTTGTTACATTTCAACTAAAAACAACAAACAAACTTGAATAAGTCCCCCCCCCCCCCCCCCCCAAGCAACTCATCATAATTGTTTACACCAATTTACCAAGAATGGACTATGCCTGTGGTTATGATGTGATATTTCTGTGAAAATCAAAGGTATCTGTCAATTCATGCTTGAATGAGTACCAGAACGTCTTAAAGACAAACTGGCCACATTTAAAAATTACAAGATATGCATTTCTCTAGTGCACTGAGAGTGACAGACGGTCAGATACATATGTCCTTGCTGTGTGTACATATATTGCACTGGTTAATGACCTCATGACAACCTGTTGGTCCATTATTGCAAGGTTAACTGAGCTGAGCACAAGTTGAAAGAAAACCAAGTTAGAATGCAATGTCAGTAAATCATTTTAGAAGGTTAAATGGAACCTGTTCCTCTTGAAAGCCCAATTAAATAGTAGTATTGACACTACTTTAATAAAGTTTGAGTCTTGGTTACGTTTTCCTTTTCTGATTAGTTATGTTTATTCAACCATGAATATTGGGTTCAAGGTGAGCAGGGTGTTAGGAGATCATAAACCAGACATAAAATTTGCATCGTTTTGAAGATTTATTTTTCATTTTTCAGTTATGTGAGTCTTATTTTTTGTTTACAATAACACTTATTAACAGAAAATTCAAAAGATCTTTTTTAACTTTCAAATAAAGGGATGCTTTTTACCTAAATTTGGCTAATCATATTATACAAGTATTTCTAAGGTATAATCTACACAAATTTTAAAGTAGACTATATTGCATTTCTTATTCCCTGGTACTATTTTCAATCTTTTTTATTCCTACCATAATTCATTTAAATATTAGATCTAGCAGTTTTCCTTCAATTACTTTTTTAAATCCGGTGGAATTGCGACTAAGTAAGGCTATATCTTGGCTCCTCTTCTCCCCGATAGTATCAATTTCACAAGATGTCTAGCTAATCAATATTTTAATAAGCTCTTCGTGAAACAGTTTAGGAAGATCAGAGACATCTCTGTAGATGGCGAATAAAGTATTTTTTTTCTCTTTTCCTCATAAGAGGCACTTTATTACTTTATATCATTTTAACAACATTGCATATAGAGTTTAATTACAATATATATATATATATATATATATATATATATATATATATATATATATATATATATATATATTCGCAATCAACAAACTGATATAATAAAATAGGGGAAACAAAAGGAAAGTGGAAGGGAAATATAAATGCGTTAAAGGTTCAACTAAGAAATATTCATCTTGATATTACTTATTAATTGTTCTTGGTTTCTGTATTGCCAATTGGCATAAAACATAAAATCGCTTTTGAAAGTCATCCAAATTGAATGACTATTGAAGGATTTACTTCTAAGATGATATACACCTTATAAATTGCATATTGTGCGTAAACAATTAGTACGTTCATGAGCAGAAACTCCGGGTCTTCAATGTTGAAACCAATTAATATGATTTTTTCTCCTAACTCAATATCTTTTTGGAACAAGTTCGTTACCAGATGATGAATTTTTTGCCAAAAGACTGCGACTTGGCGACATCTTAGCAAAATGTGTATAAACGATTCTGATTCATTGCAATATGTAAAAAGCATATCGGATGTAATTTTCCACTTGTAAAGATTATCTTTGAAGGGTAAAACTTTATGAAGCAGTTTGAAATTAAATTGTCTTACTCTGTTGTCTTTGAACTTTTTTAATTTAAAATCTAAAACATGCCTCCACTCAAAATTGATTGGTAGTTGCAGTATTTCCTGCCAAAACAATGACACCGGAGGATTTTATTTTTTGAACTCATTCCAAAGAATATAAAAGTGTTTTGCTCTCATGAGACTTAATTTAATGAAGTCGCAGTTCGATATCTCAAACATTCCTTCAGAAACTTCTTTGGCAATTGGATTAAAATTGGTATTTCTTATTTGTTCTACCCATACTTTTGGAAAAGCTCTTTTTAGTTTCGAAAGTGTGAAGCTATCTAATAAAGAACTTGTACCCAAACGTTCGAAGAGAGTGTTGCTTGACACCCATTGACCGTATTCAAATACATCACTAACTTTACAGATTCCATTTACATTCCATTTTTTTAAAAATCAAACATTTCGTTCATGTTTGATGTTACTGTTATACCACAGAATTTCATTACATATGTCTCTTACATTCAGGAAATGAACATATCTTATTTCGCACCAGTATGTGAGTAAGTTAGCATAGAATATCGGTAACTTATACATCTTACATAGCGAGAACATGTCTTTGCTTGAGCAGTTTACTTTCAAAATTAATGGTATGTCTTGAATAAAGTTATGACTGTCTTGTCGTTGGTTTCGAGGACCGGGCGTCGGGCTACTGAGGCAAGTAAATCTATCTTGCTTAGCAGCTATGCCTAGACAAATGTGGAAATAGGTTCCAGAATGCTGTAAACTATATAGCAGCATGATTTTTTTTACTTGCACGTCACTATTTTACTGTATAAAACAATTGTACACCCTTTTGTTGTCTGCACCTTCACCTGCTGTCACAACACATCCCATCCCAGTATAGCTTGGAAAAGCTGCTTCAGGGATTACCTCATCAAGTAAGTATCAAGGAACTTGAGAGGGAACAACAGTAACATCAATCTAATTTTCAAAATGAAATTGAAAATTAAATATTTGTAGAAGGGGTCTATGAATAACGAATGTGTATGAATATGAATTATGATTATGATTAGTCTATCCAATATATCGTCGGTGGGGTGACAAAACCTAGTATCTCAAAAATCATGAATTTTCAGGAGAGCAAAAAAACTTTCCTTTTAGTGCTGTGACACCGTCCTTTCTTTTTCAAACTGGAATATTTATACAATTTTTAATGTCATTGTTGAAATACAGTAAAATAATTGTTTTTATATTTGAAAGTGAGTTACGAGGTTTTTGCGTTTATCTACATTGAGATATGAGTTTTTAGTTTTTATTCAAATTGAGATACAAGTTCTTACTTTCAACTCTGAATGAGTTACGAGAATTTGGTTGAATAAGTTACGAGGATTTGAATACACTAACTTCGGTAGTTCTACTGACTGTGTTAGGCCGTGTGTAGGAAAAGGAATTACATATCTTATGTTACGAGGTTTTGTCAGTGCAGCTTCAAAGGGGATTTCAATTCAATTCAATTCAGAACTTTATTTCAGACTCATCTACACAAGGCAGAGGTCCATAAAACATATGTTACATAGATATATAGGGAGTATAAACATGATGAGTATAATAACAACAAATCTTACAAAGAGTATTTATAACTAAACTATACTAGGCCTACGTACAAACAATCTAAACTCTAAGAGTAACATGTAACCTGCATACATGTATGTAAGGTTGATAACAGCATAACAATCTAACTCTTAGACCGAAAACTTCAGTCTCTCTAATCGTCGGTTGTTCCACTGAGACTACGTCTGGCTCCACTAGACCTCCGATTATAGAGACTGAAGATTGTCCTATCGGGACTGTACGGAACCAATGGTTCGGTTCGGCAGGACCGCGATGAATGAGATATGCTACGAGATTTTCACTCTTTACATCCTCACACATGCTGCAATATGACAATAATTAGAGTCTAATTAAAAATAACATATATATAGCTTATTTGACTTACGATAGCTTGCTCATTTAGATCCTAAATTAATGATTAATCCGAGAAAGTCTCGTCGTCAACATTATCCGTCTTGGTTTTAGTTGATGAATATTAATTTTTTCTTTTCGAACGTCCAATAGCTACCGTAGCTACATACGAGTCGGCCCGGCTTGACCAACGAACTCCCACGAAACGAGTGCTCTGATTGGCCATTGGCTATGTTTTGGTAGGTGGACCCGGAAATATATCGGCCGCCGGGTAATATTTCGAATGCATGAACGTAAGTGCTTCGCGGTTCTGAGGAACAAATTGGATAATTCATATAAGTAAGTCCGAAAATTTCACATTCTATAATAGGTTAGCAAATTTTGAAAACTGTAATTAGGAGATATATAGACCGACCTAATTTACATCTGATGTAGAAATCAGGAAATTAGATCTAAATAAAGAAAATCGGGGGAGAAATGTCGGTAACGAAAAGCTGTTACGCTGTGGCTCTAATTTACCCCCACGGTACGAGATCTCTGGGTTGCCATCTGTATTGGGGAATGACAACAAATGTCAGTTTTATTAAAGAAATGACCCAAATCAGATGGTTATTGCTGTCTATCTAACTCTAAGCTGTACCTGTAACTGTAAGATTAAAATAAGTACATGTATAACAATCAATAACAATCTATTGAAGTTGTATCTTGTAACAATCTGTCTCTGTTCAACTAACCAGAACGATTAACTAATAATAAATAACTATTATAAAAAAACAGACGAACAAGGATACTGGAATCCTTGGTAACAGGAACATAAGGCCATGTAAAATTGATTACATGTTGATCGTCCGGATTTTTTGAAAAAGAGGAGGAGGGTGTACCATGTTATTTGATATTTGATATTTTTCCCAAGATGGCTGCCGCGTGTACAAATAGTAATTGAATATGTACATCAACCAACGTTGCTGTAGTCAGTTTGATTTGCCCTAAAATATCAATTTTGGCTTTCTTCAACAGGTTTCTTTTTGTCTATTTTAAATATTAAATGTTGCCTTTATTTTAAATATGTAATTTGTAAATATATTGTCATTTTTGTTTTGATTTTGTAATTGTTGTTTTAACATTTATGTAGATCTACATGAATGACATGATATTTAACATTTTCATTGGAAGCCTTGAAGGCGTACCTACAGGCTAGCTTTGGTCTATCCAAGTCTGCACTACAGGAAGCTGCCTCAAGCAGAGGACGCCAACTAAGTGACATGCATACTACCATCACGTCATGATATTGAATGCCAAGTATTAAATCCTCACTCCAACATTGAAAGTACCAAGGGTGATGACCCATGCATGTATAAATCGAAATCCAGCTATGCTGCATATACCCTACCAAAGGAGTGCCAGAATGGGAGTATATGCCAGAAACCACTACCAAGATTTGTTGACTGTATCAAATGTTAAGGGCAAAATCCAATGCTCTCTCTTTCCTGAAAAGAAAAACACTGAGAACACATATATATATAGATCAAATTTCAACTCTATATTTATTTTTGACAAAGAATTAAAACAAGTTGTACTCGATTTTTTTTTTTTTTTTTTTTTTTTTTTTTTTTTTTTAATTAAAAAAAAAAAAAAAAAAAAAAAAAAAAAAAAAAAAATCAAATATCAAATAAAAGGAGGCGGGCGGAAAAAATGAAGCGGGCGGGGACGATCAACATGAAATCAATTTTACATGGCCTAATGATCAATTGGGTTAAAGTTACGAGGTTTAGTTTAAGGTAGACCGAATTTTCCGTCTCTTTCGTTCGTTAGCCTCTTATTGGGGTAGGGTCGGCTCTCTCTTTAGAGACGGAAGCCGTTTATACACATGTCCTTGCTAACGCCACGGCCAGTCCTGGTCGTAGCGTTTTGCCCCCAAAATCCCCCAAAATGTCATTTTACCTCGAGCATGTTATATTGTAAATTAGGCCTAGGCTATAATAAATCAGTTCCACTTACCAACTTGACTGAAATAATCAGTTTAATAGTCCCTTTTTAGGAAATTATGGGTCAAAATCGAAATCCATTTCTGGCCGTGGCGTTAGCAAGGACATGTGTATAAACGGCTTCCGTCTCTAAAGAGAGAGCCGACCCTACCCCAATAAGAGGCTAACGAACGAAAGAGACGGAAAATTCGGTCTAAGTTTAAGGGTGTTTGTGTGGAATTTGTGAAAAAACAGAGAAGGAGGCATTCCATGGATTTATCAGGTGGTGTCGTAGGCCATTAGGTACAAAATTATGCAAAAAAATCAAAATCTCAAAAAATTGAGATAGATCTAGATCTAGACTCTACTAGTCTAGGCCCCTAGGCCTACAAAGGTTTTGTCACCCCATCGGCGATATGTATACTATAGCATAGCATATGTGCAATGTCAAGGCAATACTTATGCCTTGTGTGTATGTGCAATATTCAAACAAATTCCAGCTCACCAGGATTATATGCAGCATTAAAAAGCCAAAAAACTGTGCGGAATAAGAGGTGTCGTTCGATCTTGTGTGCTCAGCTCAGCTCTCGAGCTCTCCGCTCCTTGTCTCATTCAGTTGCTTCGCCCACGAGATCTTGATCGGCCAGTGTCGGCAGGATCTCAGTCTCAGCTCCGCTCGCACAGCCTCAGTGACGCGACGATCAAACAGTTACAGTTTCTTGGTGAAAATCTCAAAATCCTCTTCAACCCTAATCCCAATGTTCCACTGAATTTATCAAATCCAATCAACCCAATCAAGGGATTCGTTTAAAAGAGATCAAGTAATATTAAGTGGGTTTACGTTTCCTTAGATTAGATTTAGAAACTTGTTTATGTTCGCAACAAACCTACTTGTGCTTTTGAGAAATAGAGATGGCGCTCTTTAAAATCAACGATGAGCTGAGCTGAGAAGATGATGATGATGATTGATGATGCGGTTGAACGGTTGATGATGATGATGTGGAGGAGGAGGAGGAGGAGGATGATGATGATGATGATATTGAGTTAGGAGGAGCAGGTGGAAGAAAAAGAAGAAGAGGTAGATGATTAGGAAGAGGAAGAGCAGGAGAAAGAGAAGGAGAAGGAGGAGAAGGAGGAGATGAAAATTATAATGCCATTGATGATGATGATGATGATGATGATGATGATGATGATGATGTTGATGAAGATGGTGGTGATATTGTCGTTGATGATGATGATGATGATGAGTTAGGAGGAGCAGGATGAAGAAAAAAGATGAAGATGTAGATGATTAGGAAGAGGAGAGCAGGAGAAGGTGATGGTGGTGCCCGCTGAAAGATGTTTGCCCCCCCCCCCCCCCCCCCCATTCCAAACTGCTTCCGGCGTGCCTGGGTGGTGGTGATGGTGTACGGCGGTGGAAATGGTAATAAAATTACGATGATTAACGCCCCCCCCCCTTTCCTGTTGAGCCACCTTTTGAGTTCGGGTGACCTGTACTACTTTTCATTGATCTGTATTTCACTGGCCTGTGCCCCCTTTTAAAAACCCAATCTGGCATACCTTCGTTGTACAACAAACGTACACCAGGACCCCCGGAAAAATGAGAGTAACAGATCAGTGAAAGTGTGAGAAAAATAAGAAATTTATGAATTTTAAAGTTGGGATCAATCAAACAGAAATTGGAAACTCTGTAACTTATCCCGAGAAAGTCCTTTCCATTTGCTCTGCACTAAAAATATTCAGAAATTTCCCGATCATATATTCACCCTAAATGTAATAATTGCAAATATAAATCTATACAATCGGAGGAACACATATCTTCCGTCATGAATAACTAAGAAAATAAAAGATTATGAAATTTCTGTTAAGAGCCGTTTTAGAAAGGACCTCACATAATAAGTCAAAGTGTTGTCAATTTGTGTTTTACTGATGACAACTTAATTTTTAAACATTTATAACTTTTCTCCTTTTAATTAAATATTTTTCTGCTTCTTCTTCCATAGAGTACAGTCCTCTTTGTAGAATATAGTTGCACTTGATTGCTGGGGCCGCAGCTATATTATTATAATAGACTTTCCTATATTGGTGGATCACTATTGTTATTAACCATCTTTAAATATAGCTGACACATTGTCTGCCTGTAGAACTCGTGGTCAAATTATTTATACAAAATCTTGATTGCTCTAAAATATGGGAGTTTCAGTTTAAAGCCACTGTGTGAAAAAAATACCACACACACTGTGTGGAAATTTTCGATCTCAAATTATACCGGTACTTTTAATTCACTAAACATATTCTTGAGTGATTTGGGATGTAAAATAAAAAATAAGCATTAAAAAAACTTGCGAAATGATAGAAGGATTAATTGGCCTACCATTATGAGGGTTTAGGATCGACAGAACATGTTTTACTTAATGACGAGGACGTCAGTTCAAGCTTGCTTATGAGGACCCTTTTTTCAATGTATGATTATAATGTGCATAAACATGTTAAAAATTCATACTAGTGATGATTTATATGGAAAGAATGAAAACCAATCAATCAGTCAATTAATCGTGGAACCAACAAAATAAGTAAAATGTTGTGCTCCATAAGATACGTGAGACTGTTAATGAAAGTATTATGCCATAACACAGGTAGATTATTAGGAACAAATCAAACAATCAAACCTTTGTATTGTTGGGGATTAAAACAGAAATATAATGGTATGGTATGGTATGGTATATTTTATTTATTCACGGTTAAAAACATAATACAATTGTGCCCGCATTCAGCAAAAGCTGTTTTTCAGCAGGGCCGTGATTACATTATAACAGAAAATAAAACAATGAAAATACAATTTACAAACAAATATGCAAGTTATAATAAGTGAACATTATTTACAGAAATCTAAGTACAAAATAGAATCATAGTGATAAAGTGAGGGGGGGGGGGGTAATATAAACAGTTTGAACAAAATCGGAATAATATTAAGAAAGTTATAAATGTTGAAATAAGACATAATTTTAATCTGTGCGAATCTCAAATTAGCAATTTAGAGCGTGGAATGTGACGGAAAACAACTATTTGTCGTGCACAAAAATATAACTCCTGTTTTTCTTCTATTAAAGTGCTTTCTCTTTTGGGGCACTGCTAAGATATATATTATGAATAGCATATTACCGTAGGTCCTCTAGAACAAGAAAATATCCCCAGAGTTAAAAATTTCGAAAAATGTTGACATATTTAGTCATCTTGTTTGTTGGAAAAACAGGGAAAGCTATATAGTATCCGGTGCTACGTCACATATACATTACCGATTTAGCCAATATAATGAAGTGCTTATACGAATTGTGATTACAATTTTCATAATTTCATAACTTTCTTACTTTTGGTTCGATTTCGTTCAAACTTTCACCAGTTCTATTGCTCGATTTTCTGCTTTCTTTCAGAGTGCTTGGCTGATAAGTTTAAATTTTCTTTCAACTTGTAAAGAATGTCAAATTTCTTCCTTACGCATTTGATTATTGTCTGTATATTTTCTTTCCATGAAATATCGCATTCACTTTGAATTTCTACAAAATGAAGGAACTAATGATAGTCTGAAAGGACCAGTTCAACGTGTCTTTATATATCTGATCGATTTCTGTATCATCTTATAAACCTATTCATGCAGATGCATGGGTTTCCTCGAGGCGGGTTTTCTTGGAGTTGAGTGTAGTCGAATTTTTGAATTTGTACGTAGTTACATCCAGCTACAATGATCATAACCATAAACAAGAACCCGCCTATTACAATGCCAGCAAGCATTACCACAGTAGGCAGCATTACATCAACCTGGTATAGAAGAACGCCTCGATATACCATCTAAAGAAAGACAGGTTTAATTACCAGATATCTCAGAAGTGGTCTTCCATGCTCTTCTCTGGAAACAGTGCCAAAGAAAGATGGTGTACCCTTTTTTTTCCAGTATACAGATTGTATGCATAGCAATAGTTAAACCTATGTGACTTGAAATGAATGAATCTAAATCATGGAAAGACAACAGAAAGAGGATCAAAGGATCACTGTGGAGCGTCCTGATTATTGTTTATAATGATAAATACGTTTGTTATCCACTTCACTAGTATTCATGGATATCTTGTATTCAATTTTAATTTGATTCAGTGATAGGAGTATTAATATATACTGTAAAGTGCTTTTGATCGGATGATAGCAGCTGAAAAGGTGCTGGTGTTTAAAAAGATATATTAATTATAAAAATTACATTATTGAAAGTATTCCCTCTGGCTTTTAAGATATAGCCTTGACAGCTGATGTGAATGTCTATATTGAAAACATTTGGATCTGTGTACTATTGAAAGCAAATTGAAATGAAGGTACATGCATGTCTTCATATCTTCCTATTTATGTCTTTAAAATAATATTAGTAGTACATGTAAAATATAATTCAAACTAAAAGGTTTATTTAAAGATGACATTTTTAGTCTTGAAAGACATTTGTGATCACCTTGGAATCTTCATTGAGAATTTTACTATATATCTTTCATCTATCATCTTTCATTGTTAAAGGATAATCCAACCATTGTCAAGAACTTCATTATATGGAAGCAGAAAAATAAGAGAAACAGAAAGGGGAAAGTTTGAAATAAATCAGGCCAATAATAAGGGAGTTATGAATGTTTGAAATATACGAGATCAATGTATCCATGAAAATCTCAAATTGGCAGTTTGGTCAGTGGATCGAGACGTTCTCATAGGACGACTCCCCCGTATGTGGTGTACAAAAGATATCATCAATTTATCTGTCTCCTAAAGTACCTTTTCCCTTGGACTCAGCACTACTCATAATAAATTACGGATATAATATTATTAGGTGGAGAAAAAAAAAAGAGAGAAAAAACCCTTGTGCATCATAAATTTTCAAAAATTGACATTTTAATCAATTTGTGAGTTGAAACAAATGTAAGTAGTCTGGCACTCCATCACATAGTGACATTACCGATCAGCTAATTTGAATATATTCTGTATACGGTAGTGATTATAACTTTCTTAATTTTTGTCTGATTTCATTCCAATTTTCACCAGTCTGTTCCTCTGGTTTTTCTGCTTTCTTTAGTTTAGTTTAATCGAGTAGTTGTCTATAATTAAGATTGGATTTCCCTTTAAACAAAACTTGGCCAAAGTTAGATTTCTCCTTTGCATTCAAGGAATTGCCAATATTTTGTTTATTCCATATTATTTGTCCACTACACACAATTTGCAAAATGAAGTACTTTGTTTATTCTCTGTATAAACATACATGTATGATATGATACACATCATAGAGATGTGTATCGGTGAACCAGAATGGTTTGTAAGTAAACAATTCTTCAAGAAATCAATTATTACCATGAATTATTATACAAATAATACATGATTGTGAGTGCATTAGTGAATATGCACTGCACGCATGTTACTTGCAGAGTTCATTGTCTATCTCATTGTGACTTAACAAATTGCAGTGACACAAATGCACGGGCTAAAACCATGTATTCTTTGTTTTATAAGATGGGTCTACAATATGAGTATAAAGTCAAGAAAGGTCCCGTGTATATGGTAAAAATAATGCACACACACGTGATCCATTTCAACGCTTCTCATTGACTACATTCTTGAACCCATATTACAATGTATCTTGTCCAGCTCACGACACAACATTCAAACTATACTTTGTAAAAAAGGAAATAATACACAAAAATGCTTGGCAATTTATTTTATTTGATCAACAATTTGAAAAGCTGCTCTCGTGAATAAAAAGAAGGATATATTACATGTATATGTATCATTGAAATAACATTTGTTTATTAATAACATGGAAGCGCAGTTTTTTTCTTCTCTGATCTGTCTAACTGAAAACATGGCATTTTTTAAAAGATTCATTTCTATGTTTACTATAAACCTTAGCATTTTTGGCATTTTAAGCTGCATGTATAGATGGAAAGCTTACAAAGTTCAATTCAATTTTATTTCACATCTCTTTAAACACACATTAGAAGATATTCAAACAAATCAGTATAAATTAAACAATATAAGTACAACACATTTATGGATATGGCACTAAGCAATGACGAAGGATGGTGGATGCAAGGGATCAACACAGGCCATTGGCCTGTCAAGGCTAATCCCCTATATTACCACACTTGAAGAGAATTTTTTTTTTAAACAATCAAACAGACAGATAATATAACAGCATAATCATATAAAACATAAAGAACTACATAAATAACATAAAAGTTCATCTGGCAAGCCATTCCAAAACTGTGGACCTTTAAAACTTACTGTGGTTCTTGAAAAGTTGAAATGATAAAAAGGTACTTACATTTTATTGGAATTTCTTGTTTTATAATTATTGATGTTGCTATTATATTCAAAATAGTCATCAAAGTAATTTTTCTGACTTTTTTTTTCAATCACAGATCGATCAATCAATCTTATTTACTGGGTGTAAGCCACAAATATATTTAAATTATTGAAATTTTTCCCAGGAAGCATTACATTTATAGAAGTAATAATTGTTTAGAATAAGAAAACATAAAAGATGCTAGTTGTAATATATTTGTATAAAAAATATTCAATATTTTTAATCTTTAAATAATTGTTGGGTATGTGCTAAATGCTAAATCATACAGTTATACAAATTAGTTAAAATTTTCAGTGGTAAAATGTGTTTCAAAATATGTCATAGATCCTTTAACACTCCAATGGATTTAGATATTTTTAAAGCAATGTAATTTACACGTTTCTTCCAGATCAAGTTTTTGTCTATGATTACGCCAAGAAATTTAGTACAGGTTTCTCTCTTTATACTCATTAAAGTTCAATATTTATTTCATAATGTTGTATTCTACAATTCGTACTTTTAAAGATCATAAAACATGTTTTGATTGATGTAGAGTTTATTGGCTGTAAACCACGTTTGCATGTTTTTCATTTCTGAATTCAATAGATTACTTAATGCAACTGGGTCTTTACCTAATAAAAATTAATTTATTTCATCTGCAAATAGAATGAATGATAAGATATTGCTAACACATTGCAGATCATTAATATAAAGCAAAAATAAAAGTGGCCCAAGATTAGATCCCTGAGGTACACCTACTGAAATACTTTTATATTCTTAATTAAAATTGTCAAGGCTTTTACATATTGCTTGCTATTTCACAAATAACTTTCAAACCCCTGTATTGCATTCCCCCTTATTCCAAAATATTTCGGTTTGTTTAGTAAAATTGAATGGTTAATACAGTCAAACGCCTTTGACAAGTCTAAAAAGAGCCCTATCACTATGTTTCTTTTCAATCAATGCATGTGTAGTACTCTATCCTTTTCTAAAGCCCAGTTGTTGATTTTGTTATGTATTGTGTTTATCAATAACAGATATTAATTTATCATAAACCATTTTTTCTAAAATTTTACTAAATATTGATAAAATAGAAATTGAAATGAAATAGAAATTTTTAAATTTTTAAAATAAAATAGAAATGATGTAGTTCCTGCACCATCCAACTTATCATGATTTTCTGTCCAACTGTACTAAACTAATCATTTGATAAATTTACAATTTGAGATTTATCCTTTATAGATTTACCTTCATATTCAATTTCATTTACATCATGCTTACTTTTGCTTTTGTTTAAATCTTCATTTATAACATTCTACATGTTTTCTTTGCATTGTTCACGACATTTGGGTTAAAAAATTGAGACTCACAAACCCAGTAAAAACCGTTAAATGATGTAGTTCCTGCACCATCCAACTTATCATGAATTTTCTGTCCAACTGTACTAAAATAATCATTTGATAAATTTACAATTTGAGATTTATCCTTTATAGATTTACCTTCATATTTAATTTAATTAACATCATGCTTACTTTGCTTTTGTTTAAAACTTCATTTATAACATTCTATGTTTTCTTTGCATTGTTCACCACATCCTTAAACTTATCATCATAAAACATACGTTTTGAATCATGTATTAAGTTATTAAATCTATTTCAAACATTTACATAAGTCGTTTTGTGATATGTCGTGGGATTTTAAAGACATTTTTTGTATAATATATATTTATGTTTACCGGAACTCATTTTCTTAATTTCTATTGTAATCCAAGGTTTAACATTTGCATGTTTCTTTCTTTTCATCTCTACCTCTTGGAAACATTTGTTATATAATTTAACATATATTTCAAGAAAACTTTCATACTTCTGATTTACAACATCAAGACTATCTTTAAAAAAACCACTTTACGAACTGCAATTTTGAAGAAAAAATGTATTGATGTGTATATCACTGAAGTCTCGTTTTGAGTATACTATTTGAAAATCATTTGTATCAGGTTGAGATGACTATCAAATGATCACTTTTATATGTGCCTTGACATAATAGATTTTGTGTATGTATTCTAATTGTAACATTAACATATCAGTACTTAACACAAGCTTCAAGCATTTATGAATATTTACATGTAACATAGTGGTAGAAGTGATTTTCAGAAAGAAAAAGTCATGTAATTTATACCTTTGTATATTTTTGAACAAATAAACTCACTATTTCAAAAATAAGTGTTACACATATATTATTTTATACAGTAGGCTTGCGGGTGCACCATGTGAGAGAGAGGGAGGATTGAGGAATCCTGAAAAGGACTCTCGGTAATCTTTCTTGAGGGTGTCCTGAAAAGGACTGTTGGTATAGTCTTCAAAAAGACTTGATTATCTTTCTTAGCTTATAGTTCTATGGAGAACTATAGCGCTTGGAGAGGATGAGTGGCAGAAGTGGCTCGACGTTTGGAACAGGTTGACTATCCGTCGTCAGGATTCCTCAATCTTCCCTCTCTCTCACATGGTGCACCCGCAAGCCTACTGTATATCTACATCACCATGCAAGCCAACACTTACAAGCAGCATCTATACATTATTTTTTTTTATACATGTACTCTTGCTTTAAAAAAGGGGAATTGTATGATGAACTTTACAGAGGGTTTTTATTGTAACTATAAAGAATACTAGCAAACATTTCATCTTTAAAGGGATCGGGTAACTTTGTCTCAGATTCCTGGATTTAGCTCGAGCTGCAATGATAATTATAAACCTGTAGGTCAGTCAGGAACCCGCCGATCGCCTGTCTGATTATCAAGATATTTATGATTGGAAATAAAAAAACATATTTTATAACACTACAGTCTATATGGTTTTGTATAACCGGTCACTCAAAGATTGTTACTTTTTTGAGGCATTTCATGATCATTTTCAGTGAAGTGCAATTTTTTTAGAGCTTCAATATTACACCATATCATAGACACTGATAACACATAAGGCCATATGCATCTCAGATTTAACATTGTTAAAAGATTACTTTAATATGGTCAATTTGCTGGTCCTATACCATTGCATTTTTTTTTTTTTAAGAGCCTAGATATATGAGTTGTAAGGAGGTTCCCTTGAGGGTCAAATCAACGGGATAAGGTCAAGAAGAAGGGAAAGAAGGAGATAGAAGATGATATCAAGCAGTGGACAGGATGCCTTGCATAAAATGCACAAAAACGGCAAGAGAGAGAGGAGACAGTGGAGAGCATTTGGTGAAAGAATCCATGACCCCCGACCCTCAGTTGTGAGGATGGGAGTAGAACGAATGTACAAACGTTCGTAGGAGAATAATTTCATCATTATAATTTTTGAAAAATACAAAGGAGTCTGCAAAATGAAAGCTGGCACATGAATCGGCACATTAGCTAAATCTCATACTGTACTTAATCTTCATCTTACTATAAAACAAAGTAAAAAATAAATAAACACATAAAAATTGACAAAAATATATTGAGTTACTTAAAAATTCATCACTAAAATGCTACTTGTAATATCAGGCAAAAAAGAGATTTAGGAAAACAGTGATACATATTATAGTGTACTGACTCTAAAATGGGTTGCTTTGAATGACATGTCTAACATGAAAGATAAATGTGGTTTATCCCTCAATATCAATAGCCAGGTAAAAAGGAAAATCTAGACCTCATCATAGAACGAGTTGTGTTTGATCTGGATTGACTGCAAGTCCTACAAGCAATAAACAAAATTACAAAATATCTAATCCCTTTAGCACATAAGTGCGCTTAATATCGAGTTACTATCAATTTCTATCAACCACATCTGTTTGTAAGACAGGTACAGGACCTCTAAGAGGGATTAATCAAAGATTACCATCCAATGGTAGAAGACTATCAGGTACAGTCTCCTCACTCTATTTCTAGATGATCAAAAGATACATAATACATGAAAATACCATTTCTAATGGAAGAATATTGTTTCACTAATTTGGCCTCATTTCTCATGAACCATAAATTAGTGCATATTTCAGAACATACATGTAGAAGCAGTTTGGCTGTATCTCTTCCACATAAGGTCGTCATAACATGCTTACCGTACCTAGTAGGGTGAGAGCTGAATGAAATTTTTTTCCGTACAGAGTTCCATTCGCTTTAGTCATGCTCATTATATTTATTACTGTTTCTTCGACATTTTCACAAACCTCACAGCCCCTTCGAGGAGCATAAGTCTATCACACTAAGCGCACTACTTGACATTCAACAAAGCTTCTTCCAAGTTATCTTGAAAAGGTATTTCTTTCTTACCCCTTATAGAGCCCAGAATGATCTAAATCAACCGTTTTCTAGATGCTGTATACCCCACTACCAATAATTTGCATGAAACTTCCCACAAATGCTCTTACAGCCTAATGAAGAGATCTTATCTTATAATCTACTTAGATTTTGCATTCAAAAAGGATGTTACAATGGAAAGTTATTTTATTCAGTCTAAAACCAGAAATTCTTTGTTCTTATTTATTTATTGGTTGGTTTATTGGTTTCTGCATCTTTTTTTTCTTTTTACATCATACATTTTCATTTTTCTGGTATTGGACTATATCATTTACTAATCTGTATCAAGGTTCATTCTTTCAATATCACAGGAAGCCACACTATATAGAAGTATTTACTTGCAAGCAGAAAATCAAACTTGATTTTCAATATATTGTTGGGTCAAGTAGCTAAACCGGCTCTGTTGGTTGTAGAGTGGCGATGTCATACTTCACAATAGTGGACCTGTAACTGAAATGAAAACACAAACAATGCTATTCATTTAAGGTTGTGCTTAATTTTGAAGGCAGAATGAGTGTTTTGAAACGCTCATCGTAAAAGCAGTTCCACGCGGTACTGTTTATGCTCCCTTCTCCAGGGGAATTCAGGCTCTGTATCTGGATTCGCATGCTACGTTGACCCCGGGAGGGCAAGTCAAGTTTGGGCGCGAGCTTTTGTCTAATATGCTTTGTAGGCACTGCACTGCATAGGCAGGAGCACTGTGTAATCAAGGAGATACAAAGCAGACGACGGTCAACTCACAAAATGTGGTGTAGAAAATGCATAATGCAACAGGTTAGGCCTACCCCGTGTAAGAAGAAGTAAAAGAATAAAAGTACACAAAAAAGAGAAATTATCTTTTAATTTTTTTTTTTTTTTAAAATAAAAATTTTGTTAGCACATTATATCAATTTACAACCCCCTCCCCCCCCCTACAAATCCTTTGAATTTCTACTGGTCCTGCTAGTTATAGATTTTCATGTGAACCGAAACACGTTTATGATGACGTCATTTAAACACGTTTACAAATAATTGTGCATTTATGCTTCCCCAGAAACAGTCTTTTTGGTGAAACGCTGATCCAAAACGCACCTTTTTGTGAGTTTACTATCGGCGTTTACGAGAAAATGAGAAAGGACGCAACCGTGATTTGACCTAAACGCGTAACAAAAGTCTTATTCTGGCCTGAAAAGTTCAGCACAAATGCACCCTTTGAGAATCAAATTACTTTGACAGTAAGAAACATTAATATGGTCATCTGCATTATCTTGCCCAGTATCTCCAAAAGACCAAAAAGAGTACCGACAGCATTCAGATAAGAATTGCAAGTGTTCAAGTAAGACGTTGGTTGCTTGACATTTAGCTTTAAATCACAGCTAGTCAGCAGTCCCTCTGATCTTCATTCTGAAGTAGAACACATGTACAATACTTCCAAACATAATTTCATAAAATTTTTAAATATTGCAGTTTCTTTCCTTCGATCACCTCTTCCTCATTTTTTAGGTTTAGTTTTATTTTGAACATTCCAAGGTTTATTACCCCCCGCATGAACTACATGTACAATGTATCCTTTTTTTCTTTGTAACAATCTAGATGCTATGTTAAATTATTGTAGTGTCAAGCACTTGCATTACAATTATTGTATTTTAGAAATTGAGTCATATTTTCATCATGCAAGGCAATAAATCCTACAAACTTCTAAGTCCTCTCAAATGAAGGAATATATAGGATATAGCTCTATGTTGAGAATACGTACTCTGCATTATTGGTGACTCGATAGTAGTTATCGGTATAGTCCGAGTGACCAAGCAGTTCAACAAACTCTTCATCGTGAGTGATGATCAGCAGCTGGAAGTTCCTTTGGTTCTCTTGACTCTTTAAGATGCTGCAAGGGAAGAAGGGAGCAAATATAGAGAGCAAATGATCAACTTTTGAAAGCATGACAAAATTGATTGTGACAATTTGGGTATGCTTTTGGTCTAAATATCAAGAAGTAAACAAGGGAAACGCTCTTGGCGGTCTTGCATGCCCGCATTACTCAATTCAGTATGATGAAAATTGATGTTGGGACATTATTTATAGGCAGGGTGGCCCATTAGCAGGCCCCCCAAAATAAAATCCTCTGAATATAATCAGCATTTTGAAGTGAATATTTACTAAGAATCATCAGAAGAATTATTTACTATTATTTGTACCGAGATTGATAACTTTCATGAAATATGAACAAATAACATGAATTGATTTATTAATTCTCATATTAAGTTGTGAAAAACATAATCCAAGTCTACTGACCTAAAATGACCTTTGACCTTGACTTTGTGACCTGAAATTTGTGTCATATGTTTTGTGATACTTAATTACTCTTGGGTACAAGTTTCATGGAAATTGAACAAACAATTTTGAAATTATGCTAACAATTCAAAATGTTGATGTTGATGCCACAACGTTAACAAAGTCTTAAGTTTGCAGACCTGAAATTATATTTGGCCTTGACTTTGTCACCTAAAAGATTAATCACATGATTGGTAATACTTGATAACCCTTCTGTTCAAGTTTCATGGAATAGGAATATAAACTTTCAAAATTCTGATAACATTTCAAAATCTTAACCTGATACCACAATATAATTTAAGTTTGTTGACCTGAAATGACCTTTGACCTTGACTTTGTGACCTGAAATTCTCCTCACATTATTGTGGATACTTGATAACCCTTTAGTCCAAGTTTCATTGAATAAGAACTTATACTTTCAAAATTATATTAAAAATTCAAAAACTTAACCTTGATTAAGTTTTTGATATTGACACCGCTGCCGGAAAAGTGGCGTCTATAAACTAATTTAATATGCATATGGCACACAAGGGCTTAAAAGACTGATATTTAGTCATCGCTAAAGGTTTATAAATGAACTGCAGGTCCTCAAAATTTCACTGAAGCTTATTCATGAATACTGTTCAATTATTTATCATAAACTTCTAAAGACAGAATACCACACATATATATGAACTCTACCGGGCCATATACCTACAGGTAACTACATTTAAAAACCAAGGACCAGTATGAGGTTTAAAAGCAGATTGTATAAAAAGTAAAATTTAGTCAAAAAGGATTGCAGAAAGAGACAGAGCAACGAGAGGACTAAGACTTACTCTACAAGTGCATGTGCCAAGCTCTCAACGTTGTCTCTATCAAGGTTTGCAGTGGGGTCATCTAGCGCCAAGATTCCACAACTCAAACAGAACGTCTCTGCTAGGGCAAGCCGTATCAAGAGAGAAGCGAGCACCTGTGGTAGATGGTACAACATTTTTACAATTTATGCCAATTTCAAATACAGTCAAACCTGTCTATGAAGGCCAACTAAGAGACACAGAAAGAGACCACTGTAGACAGGTGACCTTTCTAGGCAGGTTCTTCCACACGTTTCATTCTAGAGGGAGGCAATACACATGGCCACTAGGACAGAATTGACTGTACTAGAAAACAGTGACTGAAACAAATATGATGAAACGCTCACAAAATATCAATAAATTCTCAAAACAAAAATGTTAGCAAATATGTGAATAAAAATTAACATGGGATATTGATAAATTTCATTTTACATGCATGGAAAATCATGCATCAGATTAATTGCCAAGATAAGCCACACATGTTTATTTATAAGGTACATTACACACATAGGTGTATATATGGAAACATAGATGACCTCATTTTCTTTTGGAATGTGTAATACAACAGCAAACAAGAACAATAATAGTTTTTCTGTTTCTCATATCCATCTTTACTATTATTTTGAACAGGACCCTGTTTGACAAAGAGTTGTGATTGATTTGAATTGGTCAAAAGACTCCTCTAAAAAATCACAAACCTACTACGTCCTTATGCCTATCTCTTTAATACTACAGAGCTGTAATTGATATCAAGTTTGTGATAGATTTGAATAGATCACAACCATTTATTAGACAGGGCTGATATCAAGTTTGTGATAGATTTGAATTGATCGCAACTGTTTATTAGGCAGGGCTGACATCAAGATTGTGATAGATTTGAATTGATCGCAACTGTTTAGGCAGGGCTGACATCAAGTTTGTGACAGATTTGAATTGATCGCAACCGTTTATTAGGCAGGGCTGATATCAAGTTTGTGATAGATTTGAATTGATCGCAACTGTTTATTAGACAGGGCTGACATCAAGTTGTGACAGATTTGAATTGATCGCAACCGTTTATTAGGCAGGGCTGATATCAAGTTTGTGATAGATTTGAATTGATCGCAACTGTTTATTAGACAGGGCTGACATCAAGTTGTGACAGATTTGAATTGATCGCAACCGTTTATTAGGCAGGGCTGATATCAAGTTTGTGATAGATTTGAATTGATCGCAACTGTTTATTAGACAGGGCTGACATCAAGTTGTGACAGATTTGAATTGATCGCAACTGTTTATTACACAGGGCTGACATCAAGTTTGTGATAGATTTGAATTGATTGCAACTGTGTTATTAGACAGGGCCCAGAAGAAACACTTGAATGTTGTTGACCTTTTGACCTGCACTGCATCTTCCTCTCATATCCAGAATTTCGTCTCCTTTCATCATGACAACCTAGTAATATAAAAAAAAACAATATCATTATTCCTAACAATTTTACTACATAGTAGACAGAGAGAAAAACTATGCATCCCCGTCTTCTCCCAAGATGGCAGATAAAAGGGGTAATAAGTATATCTTTAAAGCACTTAGAGACATCAAAGAATTATTTTCAAGTGCTATAAAAATCCAGAATATTAACAGAGGGGTTAGATTCATATCTAAATCTACACTATTCTAGTAACAGATTACTGATAGTTATGACAGTGAGATGGGAATAGCTGTCAGCCAATCGAAGTGAAACTATAAGATACTAAAATCTTCCTAAAATTGTACCCCAAATTGTTGCTTTAGATAAAGCACCAAGGTTATATGGCAAAGTAAGTTATGAACATGTGTATTTTCGATTTATTTTTATTCATTTCCATTTTCAATAAAAAACAATATAAAGAGATATACAATAAATAGGGAACTAACAAAAAAATGGCCTTGTGGAGGCATAGTTCCCCGAACAGTAGTTAAGAGATTTACTTATACAAACAAAACTAAAAAAGTCACATACATGACCATACAGTACATGACAATTAACATGGCAGGGACATCGTTCATGGCAGGAAATACAAATGGAAGTAATCAACACAAATCATAAGTTTGAAAACAGTTATAGGTAACGTTGTATAATGTCATTATTGGTACAAGAATCATTGATATTTCCATCATTAACAAATTCCTTTGCACTGGCTGCCAGCCATAGCAACAAACAATCAACTCTGATTCGTTGACGATCAGCCATGCATGAAGTCTTTTTTTCTACTTTGTTATCAGGGCAGACAGCCAGTGGAACTGATTCGTTTAATAAAATTAGGGAAATGCAAGCATTACTTTAAACAAACAGAACTTTGTTATTCCTGGCTCATTTTTCCTGGTTGAGTGTCATATGAAAGGGCAGAAAATGAACTTTCTTGAAATGTGATTTTTTTTCTTTGAAATTCAGATACCGTTCGCCAAATAACTTTTTGGTACCCTTTCTTCAAATTGTTTTTAATCACCCATGCATGAAATATGCATTATATGAGATGCATCAAATGGAAGAGGAGGCTATAAGCTTTACAAATATGTGTCATTTTTTAATTATAATTGTGATTAAGTTACGATAAAACATTGATAATTCTCATTTTTCTGGGACACACTGGACAACACCAGTTTTAACAAATAAAGCCACACCACTACCGCGTCCATGTAATCTATCAGCATTTAACATTGTATAACCATCGAGAGAAAAGGATATTAAAGGGGCACTATTTATCCATGTTTCTGAGATAGCTTTAAAATCAAAAGAATGATGCAACATTGAAAAAAATTGTGATATATTTTCAAAATTTTCCCTAAGCTTCTGGCAATACAAAGAAGATGACTTATATTAGAATCAAACAGAGATTGAGAATTAAATTCTGAAGGTAAAAAACACGGACATTCTGTGGATGAGTTATAAACATGCAAGTCAGGACCAAGACCTTCAAGAGGGTTATTCATATAAAAACAGTGTCATTGTAATGTTGTACATGATGGTTCTTAGAAATAAGTCGATACAAAAAGCAGTCTTATAACAGGCGTGTAAGTTGTGTCTAGCTTGGCTGAGATTGGGATGAGACCAACATACATTAACGAGTAGTGAAATAAACCCACTATACGGACAAAGGAATCAAAAAGCGTTATTCAAACACAAGGTATGCACAATAAATTCTGTAACAAGTCGAGCCACACACACACAGCCGACTAGCTGAAAACCCCAGTACATGAAAAGTCGTGAACGGGACTGAACACAAAAAAGGAAGTACGCTTGGCAAATTCAAACACTTAAATATTGCCAAACAAAACATGACTGAGGATAAAAACCCTAACCATATCGTTATAAAACAAAATGGGACAGAATTGTACTGTATAAAAAGGCACCAAAAAGCACAAGGAGTCAAAAACTCGGTAATCTCCAGGGCCCGTCTTTATGCGATCAGCATCTGTCAATATTTGTAGCTAGTTAGCTTGACTATAATCGGTGTGGGGGAGGGGAGGTATAGACCAATCCACTTGGCTTCATGGGCTCCCGGTGCTTGCCGACCCGATGGCTCCAGTCGATGGCTTTCGGGTCCAGATCGATGGCAAGGTGATCCTTCGCAATCCGGCAGACGCCTATCGTCAGTGTTCAGCGACTCCTTCACACTGTAGATCCTGACGCAGGTTCTGCGCTATAGTACTGCTCCTGGTTGTTTTGATCCAACATGAGTCTCCATATATAGGTACAACTAATGAATTGAAGACACTTTTTTTGTTCTGAAGGAAAGTCACTGACACTGTATAGTCTATACTGCATAAAGCTGAGGCAGAGGTTATTTATATATCACATAATACCAAAAGAGGCACATGGAACTTACAAGACAAATGGCAGACAGGAGCACTGCAGATTTTGTGGAGGAGTATGAAGAAAATCAGCCAATTAAGTTCTTGACTCCATACGTCCACGCGAGTAAATCAAGAGATATTACATTCTCATTACTCTACATTTGCATGGTCCAGAATATACAACAAAACAAATACGCTAACAAAAACTCACCTCAACCAAATAATACGTTTTGATGTATATAGAGCCAAGTTCATTAGGTGTGCCACCTAAAACGGCAAAGTTATGAACATGCAAACATACTATGATGACTGTTAAGAACATGTGAACATACTACGATGACTGTTATGAACATGTGAACATACTACGATGACTGTTATGAACATGGGAACATACTCCGATGACTGTTATGAACATGCGAACATACTACGATGACTGTTATGAACATGTGAACATACTACGATGACTGTTATGAACATGGGAACATACTACGATGACTGTTATGAACATGTGAACATACTACGATGACTGTTATGGACTTGTGAACATACTACAATAACTGTTATGAATATGTGAACATACTACGATGACCGTTATGAACACGCAAACATACTAAGATGACTGTTATGAATATGTGAACATACTACGAAGACTGTTATGAACATGATACTATGATAACTGTTATCAAATTCATGTGCTACATATATAGGGACAAGGCAATGTGATCTATACTAACCCTGTAATTGTACTGCCTCCTTTGAGTGGTAGATGCTCCCGTCTCATCATCAGCGCGTATCTCAATATAGTCAATATCTAGCAGAGAAAGGAACATAGAATGGTAACAATTAAGGCATGGTAATGAATGCATTTATGATAAATTATGATACTTTATCATACCCCAAATGTAACTGTCAGTACTCCATACTCCATACGCCTGCATATGTAGCGTTCCATACTCTCATAGCAACCCATTTTGAGAAGCACAATTGTACGTCACGATGTAAAACCACGGCAAAGTTAGCCTGTTTTTATTGTAAAGTTAAACTACTTGGTCTGCCCATATTATTTGGTCTGCACAGTGGTAAGCAATTAAACATGTGTTATTTGATTGGATTGTATTATCAGTGTTTGTGACATAGGTTTCGTCATTTAACTATAAATACCACAGATTATTTGATGATAATGAGAATGTTGCATGCCATTGCCCATGTTATAATATAGCATTATTCAGAACTGTAGAGGGCGAAGTACATTCACACTCACTTTCAATGAATACATAATACATAACTCACAAGATAAGATGTTTATAAAATCATAGTTTATTAGCGAGTTGTGCATAATGCATATAAATGCATACAGTGTAGATATTATAATTATCGGGGTAGAAAATTACATAATGAAGGTTTTAGTACTTAAATTAAGTTGTTTATATTTAATCTCCAATCTTGTTGCTCAGACATACCGGTACCTGTTTAATAATAAGAGCATGAAGTTTAGGTACGTTATTTTATATTACATTGTGGTTGTTTATGATACATGTATTTAGTAGTTTATGCTTGACAAGAATGCTAGCTCATAATGATAACAAGGTATTTGTTCAGTAAGCACTGTTCCCTTTATAAGATAGGTAGCTGCTAGCAATAGTTAATTGCTTGTTATTTATTATTAAGTTTGCGATTTTATTTCCGCACATTTGCATGGTTTGGGCCAGAATGTTAAGGTCAAGTTAGACACCTAATACCAAAGTTGAAAGGTTAACATGGCATCAATTGATATACTTTTCTTTGGCTTTGTTTTATAGTTCTTACGGCAACATCTTACGGCAACATGTAAAGCGACTTCCAAGTTAATCAGCTAAATCGGCGTCATCTATCAAGTTAACGGCTTATTCGATATTCGAGAGTAAGATTGTAAGCCTGTAAACTTTCTTCAAGGAACGATGACAATAAAGGAAGCATGATTAAAGTGCCCGTATACAAGACCTGTGACTGTATTCATTTATCTGGTGTAAACGTGTCAAGTTCGAGAGGGGCAGGCACACCAAAACTGGTGCATCACAGGATGAGTATATATGTACAGGTACGTTGTTATTCTATATGAAAAAGTAATTTCCACACAAATTGAACACTATTTTGCAGCAAAATGTAATGCTGTTTTTTTTAATGATGATGTGAAGTGTAATAAGCTTCACATTGCTGTATCTTATAACACACAGCTAAGTGAATATGTGTAGGAACTTTGTTGTGCGCAGGTGCCATTCATTTACATGCTTTAAAAAATAAACGCCATAGCTTAAAATTTCCAGTTTTGGAAACGCCTCCCTATCAAAAATGAAATGGAAGCTCTTATTGCCAATCATGTGAAAGAATATGTATTGACTAATACATGATGATACAAATGCCGGGAAACTGCCTACTCATTGATATATTGGGTAAATTATCATATCAATCAGGCCTCGTATGCGCACTTCAACATGGAACATTTGGGCATATATTTCTTTTTTTGTGTGCAAATTTAGGATAAAGTATTGCCATCTAAACTTCTGAAGGCAATATTTAAACAATTTGGCACCCAAAACCCTTGAACCGCAATTTTACCACTACTGGTCTATATCTTTAATGATTCATATACTCTAGTACACGGTTCCCTCTACAAACAAACTCTAAGAAGCCCTCAAGTTCTTACCGCTTCCCTTGTATGTGTTGCGCCAGAGATCTTGTAAAATCTTGTTGATCTTTAACATCTTCTGTATGTGATAAGTGTTGATAGCACTGCACAAAGAAAAAAAAAGTAAACAAACAAACATTTACAACTACACCATGAACCAAGTTCAACAGCAGTTGTCTTCAAAAGCTGTCAAGTACATCGCAACCCTTCAACATTTTCTGATACAGGTCTAAATCAGTGTTTGAATAAATGCAACAGACACAACTGTTAGTCTTATTTTCCATGATTCGATAACAATTAAGTTTCACATTGGACAGATTGCAATAGAGTGACTCAACCCAATGCGTTCTCTGGTTTCCATAGGCTTAATACAGAATCCACACATTAGCAAGGGGTTACAAACTCAGAGATAGAAAGGTATACTCAACGGGTTGGTCAATTGTGTTTCCATTTGAAATAAGGATAATTTACATTAATTTGCTTTGATAAATATTTGTTATATATACAGGGCCCTGTCACGTAAAAATTTATGAGTAATTGTACGTGTATCTCCTTTAATCAATTGTAACATTACAATATTTAGTAACATCAGATTAATATCTTATAGAAACAATCCATTGCAAGAATTGCAGCAAGATTGGAGATATAATTTTTGTTTGACTAATTGTAAGTTGAATTTTATATCAAAGAGCAGTGATCTAATCCTCATTCTCTCTTTATTCTAAATAAAGTCTTTAATAATTCATTTCCATCTCATTTTCTTCTAAGTTCTTATTACCTATTTAGAGCATTGTAGTATTTGTCCAAATCCTCGTTGGCAACCTCTGTTGTCTGTAAGAATCAAAGACAGAATCATTTGTTGAAATGAATTACAATGGAAATACAGAGACACTTGTTTGTACATAAAGAGGGTTCAAAAATTCACAGAAAATAAGTCCTGAACATAACAAATTCTTAATCAATATTACAATCACATATTAGGTTTGTGGTACAGGCCCTATACAGGCCCTCATTCTGTTAATAGACAAATATTTTTTAACACGGTTCACAAATACACACAAACTGGATAGAATAGTCGAAAATGATGCCTCCGTCATAGAGCAATTTTACAAACCAAAACAGAAGAAATATTTCAAATCAAGTTTGATTGTAATCCATTAGCAGGTTCTCAGAATATCGTTGATTACAAGCTATTTCTCATATACATGTATGACCCTTTGATCTTTGACCTCATGACCCCAAAATCTACTCAGTTCATTAATTGGCTCTGCAAGATACATACATGTCTTGAGTTTGATAGTAATCCATTCTTCGGTTCTAATGATATTGCGATCACAAGCTATTTTTGCATACATAATGAGCCCCATGACCTTTGACCTTGACCTCATGACCCCAAAATCTAATCAGTTCATTGCCTCAGCAAGATACATACATGTCCTGAGTTTCATGGTAATCTGTCCATCTGTTCTAATAATAATGTGATTACAACTATTTTTGCATACATAATGAGCCCTGTGACCTTTGACCTATGACTTTGTGACTCCAAAATCCAATCAATTAATTGTCTCTGCAAGATACATTCATGACCAAAGTTTGTTAGGAATCACTCAGTCGGTTCTTGAGATAACGCGATCACAAGCTATTTTGCATACATAATGAGCCCTGTGACCTTTTACCTTTGACCCTGTGACCCCTAAATTTAATCAATTCATTGGCTCTGCAAGTTACATTCATGAGCAAAGTTTGGAAGGAATCCATCAGTCGATTCTTGAGATAATGCAATCACGAGAACGGGACGTACGGACGGACAATCCGAAAACATAATGCCTCCGGCTACTTCGTAACGGAGGCATAAAAAATGTATGATTTCTTCTCCTCCAAATCAGTGGTTTCATTACAAATTTTGGCTAATTTTATTTATATTTTAATAAAAAACAACAAAAAAGAAATTAAAAGACCTCTACAATGTATATTGTGACAGCAAAAATCTCAAATGTGGTAAACATTCATATATAGCTATCTAAATTACTCCATGCTAACAACACATGAGTATCCACTCACCCTACATTTAATCATCATATCATTGTAGTTCTTCTCAGCATTCTTGTACTTGTCACTCTCTAGCTCCTTCTCTTGTTTAGTGACCGCCTCCCTCAACTCGGTAGATCTCCCATCAAGCTGATTTTTCTAGCAAAAAAGAAGAAAGACAGAAAAATAAATAAAAGAGGAAACACAATGTAGTCTGTGAAGCGATTTTGTGTATTTCCCCGGGACCAATATCAATGAAGATTTCTATATGATAGTGTTGCACTCAACGGAGAGATGTTTTTTTTTTTAAATAAGCATCAATTGTTTCCTCAGAGATGTGTTAAATGTAGATGTTAGTGTACAAAAATGAGAGAAACTAAAGAAAGGCAATTGTCTTTCAAATTAGAGAATTAAAAAAAAGGGAAAATATATGTAAATAAGAGAAAAAACAATGGGCTTGGGAAGAGTTTTGTACGTACCTGAGACAATATCAATGAAGATTTCTACATGATACTGTGACTCATCAGAGAGAATTTGGGAAATGGGCATTAAAGAGAAGATTCATTGATTTTAAAAAACTAACTTTAATGTCATTATTGCAAAGGTGACACTTTGATTGGCCAAGGTTATCGAAAGCCAATGCTTGGAAACATTCGAAGTAATGATTATTAACAATTACAAAACGCTTAGATACAGCCCCGACATAGCACCTGAAAAGCTCTCCGGTCGCTGATGAGATATGACATCACATGTTGAACATGATGTGCACAAGCAGACGATGGCCAATGACATCTCACATAATTTCAGTGCCTGTTTTGTCATCTTTTCTTCAGTTATTTCTCTTACTTCAATACCCTCAGGCGAAATGTTTAATCTCACTCTAAACCCCATGCATGGTATTATTTTGATGAAAAATGCAAGGAAAAAAAAGAAAAAGGAATCCGTCGCTTGTAAACAAAATAAGACGCCATTGTATTTTCAGCTGCATACACCGCGGCATGTTCGGCGTTTCAAGAGGGAACAAAATTACACCCATGCTATCCATTCCGGTGGTTTTAATTTGAAAGCGTGGTTTCTTCGATTGTTCATTAACCCCTATCCTGTGTATTTATAAACAAAATAATTTAGTTTTCAGAATGGGGGTCATATTCCATTTTGAATGGTGTAAAATTCCATCACATTTATATACACTAAACTCATTATAATTTGAGAAATAAAAGCATTGCAATTATGTTCATTCTTTATGGGATGTCGTCTGCTTGGGCAGGGTTGGTTCATATTGTGACGGCATTAAAACATCGTCATTTTTCCGGCCAATCTCTGGCATATCCCAGATGCTATGGAGGTTGTCTTATTTGTATTTTTATAAATCACCCGATATGTAGTTGACCTAAAACTTGCACGATGGCCATCTGTTAGCTTACCAGTTTTTACTAATACACTATTTGCCATATTTGTGATTTTCTATGAACCCGCACTTTAACAACATGGCATACACTATTTGCTATCTGAGGTTCATTTTAGGTCAGTCACCTGAGTGACTTCATACCAAAATGGTCTAAATTATTGGCTTTTAACTTAATTCTATTGGATTTTAACCTCAAAGCGCAAGTTTCCCCTTTTTTCACAAAGAAGCATGTTTTCAAATGTGATAGAAAACAAAAGCAACTTATTTCTAATGAACCGTAACCCTCTTTTATTTATAAAGTTTGAGTGCAATAATGTCAACAACAAAAAGAGAGAGATTGATAATGGAATTTTCTTTTTTTGCCAATAAGTTTATATTCAATACGCCTTGTCATGTGAGTGACCCTTGAGTCATCATGGCCCTATTCATATTGGTGTGATACAGAGGCAAAAAAGGGTTTGAGGGACAAGAATGCAGGAGTGTGGTAGCCGAGTGGTTTAAGGCGCTTGACTGGAGATGTGAAAGTCGAAGGTTCGAAATCCCGACATGGCACTAATATCCTTTGGCAAGATATAAACTTGCACTTGCTACTCTCCATTCAGGTGTTAAATGGGTACCTGGTAGGATGCGACCCTGATTGTTGGTCAAACAGTTTTTGAGCGTCAAGTAACGCCTAGCTGGAATGCTCCCTCAGGAGTGGATATTACACACACAGTGTGTGTGGGTGAGCATTGAATCCAATGACCGGGTAATAGTATATCTGTAAAGCGCTTAGAGACATCATAGATGTATTAAGCGCTATATAAAAGCGGAATATTATTATTTACCTCTTTATTAAGACCAGCTTTCTTTCCCTCCATTTCTGTCTTCTCTCTCTCAATTGTGATGGGATTATAACCACCTAGTTGCTCCTGAAGCTTCTCTATCTCACCGCTCTTCTTCTCAACATCTTGACGGTACTTGAAGAGGAGCATGTTATTCCGTAACTCCATCTCTTTCACCTGGAGGGGGGCAAGCCATGCACTGATCACACATTCATACTTTAAACAGTTTACATCTAGTGAGTAGAGCATTCAAGAGATGGCCATGATATGCACTAACCCCACATTCCATAAGATCAGTTTCTTGAAGTGTCTTGAATACTCCCAAATTAACAGGTCCCACATTCATAAAACCTTACTGCGCTAGTTGTCAATTAATTACATAGGCTATAGTACTTACTTGGCTTACTAAGGTTTTATGAATATGAGCCCTGGTCAAAGATCCTACCCATTGATTAAGCTCGTATTATGGGAAACAAAAACAAAAGTTGCCAACAAAATTCCCATATGACGACATAGCATATCTTGATGAAGAAATTAAAGCAATAACTGCAATAGAAATGGTTCCCACTATAACAATTGGCACAAGATCTTGAAATAAGTACTATCATACTGCTATCTAAAGAGACCCCAACAAACCAACCCACCAACCCAGAATATGATAAGTAAACACTGAGTTACAGGATAGATTGAGGCTGAAGAAATTAAATTGATCTACATGAATTGAAAAGAAATAAAGTAGCATACCTTCTGATTACTGATTTCATCTGTGAGTTGTTTAATGGTAGCTTCGATTGGACTTAGATCCTCACCCAATTTAGTCAACTTCTCATTAAGGACAATAATCTTCTTTTCTACATCATCCAATTTAGACTCCTTCCCATCCGTCACATACCTGATAATAAACAACACAAATACAGAGAGGTTAGGAGCAGCAAACAAAAAAAGGGGAAAAAAGAAAACAAAAGAAGAAAGTAGCGGTGTGTGATTTAGCTCTTAAAAACTCCAAAAGTGTTCTGGTAAATTTAACAGAAATAATATCACTGAAAAAAATCGCTCTCATGAATAGAAAAGTATTTTAAAACACTGGTTAGGAGTACTACAGGAAGTGATTAATATCCCTGGGGGTTGGGAAGATGATCAGAGGTAACAAACGTTTTCATCGGAAATGATACGCCCAATATATACTTTATTAGGGGTTATAATAGTCCTGCTGAAATCTTAGCACCTATTTTGAGGTGCCTTTGATGACAAAATTCTAATTTAATTCAATCAACAATCAATGAAGGAAGACTGCTAGAAGTGTAGAAAGTTTTCAGAAAGTTTCTCTCAAAACAAACATGACATTAGAAATGAAAGGCCCCTAAAGAGAGGTAAATGGAAGTAGTAGATGGACTTACTTTGCAATGTGTGAAGTCCCTGCACGGATATCTCTCAGCTGCTGCTGGACCTCATCAATCTGAAAGATATATAGGTACATACTTCTACGAATAATTAATTTTACAATTTCAACTATCCTAAAAATGGTTTTTGTTCTGGTTTATGCTCTGGCTCCTAACCATTAGGAGCCAGAGCATATAACACTGAGTTCCCATAGGGCATATATTTATTCAAGTGGTCATATCTCAGCCAATACTTAACATATTCAATTGGTTTTCGACATTTGGACATTATTTTTGATGCCCTTTCGGAAAATGAAGAAAAAATTGAGAAATTTTAAAATCAGATTTTTGATGACGTCACACTTCACCACTCTATAGTTTTGTGAATAGAGGTATGAAACCTGAGATTAGATTGTTATTATTCTGGCCATGTATAGTTGTGCACTGAATTTAGATGATCATTTTTCAAAGTAAACATAGTAAACTTTTCACACAAAAATCAGACGGTCATTTAAAAACATAGACATTACCAATTAGTAATACTTTTACTATGATACAGTTCTTTCATCAAATCAATGCATTAAAACTTAGTTACTGTTTTCAGTGTACATCACTAGGCTCAAGCAAGTTTTACAGCAGCATGATGTCAAGTATCACTGCTATGCAGATGACATCCAGATCTACGAATTGTTCCTTCCCAATCAAAATGACGCAAGTCGGACTGTCAAACTACTCGAAGCTTGCGTCAAAGATGTGCAAACTTGGATGAACTCGAACTCACTCAAACCGAATGACAGTAAACCTGAACTAATTTTATTTGGTTCGAAATCAAATCTTGCTAAGATACAGTCGTTCAATATATCTATATCAGATTCTGTAATCAGTCCTTCCTTGCATTGTCGCAACCTTGGTGTCATGTTAAACTCGTCTATGTCATTGTCAACTCATGTTTCTAGTATTTGTAAGTCAGTCAGATATCAACTGAGAAATCTAGGTTTTATTTGGAAATACTTAAGTCGTTCAACCACAGAGAAACTTGTAAATGCTCTTATTTCATCACGCTTAGATTTCTGTAATTCTATTTTCTATCTGCTCCCTAACACACAACTTTTTTGACTCCAGAAACTGCAAAATACTGCTGCACGTATTGTCACACTTTCTTCTCGTAGAACTCACATCATCCCCATTTTCAAAACTCTTCACTGGCTCCCGGTATGTGACTGAATCATTTTTAAGTTGTTGTTGCTAGTTTCCATTCCTTGTATGACTCTGCTCCTTCCTATAATATCAAGTTGATCGTTAAGTATAAGCCTACAAGACATCTTCGTTCATCTCAATCCTCCTTATTAGTTGTCCCTAAGACGCGCAGTTCCTGGGGGGATAGAGCCTTTTCTCATTCTGGTCCGTCCCTTTGGAATAAGCTGCCACTTAGAATTTGTAACTTAACTGCCTCCATGACTTCAAAGTTGCTCTAAAAACCCATCTCTTTCTAAACAATGCTATTTAATCATGTCAATGTAGCGTAATAATTTGTGTTGTTTTAGTTTACTTTATTTTAGTTAAGAAAGGTATATGTTTGTGATAGTAATATGTACAGCGCCATGAGCGTCAGAGCCTGGCGGATTTCAGCGTTATATAAATATCCATATTATTATTATTATCATTTAACTATATAAATGCTTTCTTTTTGAATGGGTAATTATAACGCAGGAATCCCAATACCTTAATCAAAGATATATTAGACAGAAAGCCTACTAAATAAACTTAATAAACTGTATCCTTTTATGAATTAATGAAGAATTAGCCACAGAAAAAAAGCCCCAGAAATGGAGAAAAAAAGCCCCGAAAGTTGAAAGAGTAGCCCCTGAAAATTTCCAAAAAAATGGATATGGAGCACCAGAAATATTTTTTTCTCCTCCTGACAGACACACACACTGAAAAAAGATGCACAACCTATACCTTTCTAAAATAAAGGCTTGTTCTCATATGAAGTGGTAAACCATGGTTGTTTCTTTAATACATGTAAGAGAATGGCAACTGCGCGCAACAAAAGTTCTACAGTGTATTATATTCATTGAGTTCTGTGTTATAAGATACAGAAATGTATCTTATAACACAGAAATGAAATGAAATGAAACACAGAAATGAAGCGTATTTAATACATGCACATCACCCTAAAATAATAACTGCGTCATATCTGAACAAGGCTTTAAAAAAGTGCTCCAGACTTGATAATCAAATTAAATGAAATGTATGATACATACCTTCTCTCTGATTGCTTTGATTTCCCTCTCTTTCTTCTGAATGATAGCTGCTTTATCTTGATCTAGCTTCTGAAGCTTGTCCTACCCAGATGAAGATAAATCACACAAGTCAAGTATAGAACATGGTAAAAATACAGGTTTTTCTCTACATTTCGAAACATCAGAGATTATTGACTTTCTGATGACATACATATAAACATCTCCTGGTGTAGTGAAAATAACCTGCTTAATTACAACATCCAGAGAGCCTGGTCAGTCAGGTAATAATAATAACAATAATTTTGTTTACCCAGGGAAGCCTCATCAGCATAAATGCTGTCCTTCCTGCAATTGATATTATTCTGGCAATTACCAGGTACCCATTTACATCTGGGTGGAGAGTGCCAAATATGGATTAATGTCTTCCTAAAATACATTAGTGTTGGGCTGGGATTCAAACCCTCAACCCATGGTTTGAGAGTCAAGTGAATGAACCACTATACTACGATACATCCACAAAGGTGATACACCTGTCGCTAGAAACACTACAAAGATCTTATCACAACTTGCTTCTATACAATCGGAATCTTGGGATGTGGTAATGAAAATACCCAAGTAAACCAAACTAGTTTAATGATTGTTCTGACCAACGTCATTCTATTCAACATGTCTACTATTCCTGGGTTCGCTTCACACATAAATATATGCAATTTCCCTTTTGGCTACTAGTATATCTGACTATTGCATTGCTATTACCAGCATTCTGGTGGTTTTTCACTTCTGTATTCATGTAATTTCATTCTTGGGTGCCATTATAGTCAGATATGTGTGCTTTACAAATCTTAAATTATTATTATTACTATCATTACGCACAACAATTAGACTGGATAAGCAGCTTTAATACAAAACTAATTATTCAGAGTCTACTTTTCAAATCTCACATAGTGCTTAAGGTGCTTGGACACACTATAAAATTACCTTGATCGGTTTCTGTTCTTGTCTGGAATTCTATTATGAGAGGAACAAGGGAAAGAAAATGGGAGGGTAAACAATAACAAATATATATCATACTAATAATATACTGGCTATAAACATTCTCTACTGTCTCCAAAGAAATGGATTATTATTCAAATAATGCTGGATTGTGAATTGTGAATTGTCAGAAGTATAAATAGAACTTAGCTGAAGGTATATAGTTAATCATCACCATCATCTTCATGGGGTATCAATACAACACTCTTACGCTACCACCAAAATCAGTGAGCAATTAATCTTATACCAGTATTGCCCTTTCAAAACCTTAATTATCACAGACCAGGGGGTGTTTCACAAAGATTCTAAGTTGAACTTAACTCTAAGTTGGACTTAATCATTATGGAGAGCCACTTGTAGCCTTAAAATAAAATATACTCAAAAGCAAAAATTCAAATATTTTAGACTTTTTATAAATTCCACATCAAGAACATGAAATCTCCTTCAGAATAGAAAATATGAATGATTTGAATCAACATTTTATGCCTTTTAAAATAACTTTTACAAAATATTTTCAAAGATGCTAACGGCTTTCCATAATTGTTGAGTCCAACTTAAACAACAACTCTCTCTTTTACTGACCAGTCTCTCTACATCTTCTATTTGGGACCGGTAGGGCATTAGCTCATATACTTAAAGGTAATACAAAGTTTTGGGAATTTTTTAAAATCGGGTGGAAAGTGATTCTTTGCTATTTTTATATATTTGGATGCCCCTGTGGATGTATTATAAGCACTAGAAAATTTAGCACCTAAAACACTTCTGTTTTTGAGAAAAATTGAATATAAAAATTTAGCGATGGTCCCAGTAAATTTTGATAAATTTCAAATAGCACCTACAGCCGTACAATGGTAGCTGCGACCATGAAAATCTCAGAATATGTAGTAGTGATATATAATTTCCAAACAGGAATAGCTAATCGGTCGATTTTAGTCAAGAAACATTGTTTTATAGCTTAATTAATATCTTGACCTTGAGAGGGAGTTATACAACATAAAGAGTTTATTATTTACAATTTCATAACTTTAGACTCAATTTCAACCGCGACAACGATCACTGAATATTGTAGGATCGCATATGCTTCCGATATGATCATTTGAAACAAATTCATGACTCCATTCCAAAACTTTGTATTACCTTTAAAGGGATCCAGTAATTTTGTCTCAGATTCTGAAACAAAATTCTGAATTTAGCTGCAATAATAATTATAAACCTTTAAGTCAGTCAGGAACCCCATGACTTTTACAAGCCGATCGCCTGTCTGATTATCAAGATAATTATGATTAAAAATCGAAACCAAATTTTGCGTTTGCCTAACGGTTTTCATAACACTACAGTCTATCGGGGAAAACAAGGATGGTAAAACCGGTCACTAAAAGATTTTTATTTTTTTGAGGCACTTCTTGATCATTTTGAAGCGTAATTTTTTGAGGGCTTCGATATTACACCATATCACAGTAACTGATAACACATAAGGCCATGTATCTCAGATTTAACATTGTTAAACGATCCCTTTAAATCACAGAGTTAACACCCTTCTGGCTCTGAACAGACTATATATTCTGTAACTTAGTATAAAGATGCATCATCATAACCCCTACCACCACCACCACCATCGTCCTCCTCCCCCCACCATCATCACCACTACCACCACCACCATGACCACCATCATCATGATCATTATCATCCCTACCCCCACAATTACCACTACCACCACCATCATCACCACTACCACCACCACCATGACCACCATCATTATGATCATTATCATCCCTACCCCCACAATTACCACTACCACCACCATCATCACCACTACCACCACTTCATATTCCATATCCTAGCTCCTACCTCTATTTCTCTTTGGAACGTTCTGCTGTTTGTACTCAGTTCTGCTTGCTCACTCTCTAGTCTCTCTCTCTTCTGAAGCTTAGCAGATAGATGAAGTGTCTCACTGGTGATGCTATTGATGCTGATTCTCATCTTGTTTACATTATCAACATGTTCCTGTCTCTGACGTTGCTTGAAATCTAGGGTACTCCTCACTGTATTCCTGAAATGAAGAAAAAAGCATTACTGAGAAGGCACATAACGATGCTAAGAATGTGTGGGTGCAGAGTAGAAAAAAATTCAGATGAGTTTAATGCAGATCATTTTTAAAGCAAATGAGCACCTACCTGGCCAGAGCTATTATTAAAACGAAAAAATGTGACTCACAATTTGATCTTGACTTCTTCTGTCTCAGTGTTGACTTGTTGAAGAGTTCTGCTTATATCTGAGAAGAGAGACATACACACACACATGAATACCAAAGTTCATATTATATCAACGTCTTTAGAAGCAAAGCAGTAAAATATCTTTGGCAGTTATCCTTCAAAAAAATACCTGACATATTTTTTTCCAGGATTCCCAAAGTTATTACTATGTAATACAAATCTAGTTACTTAGTTAAATAAATCAATACTATTTGCTGGATGATCTCTTATGCCCATATCAATGTAATACAGAAAGACACATGTACACAAATTAGTTACATACCACAGAAAAATGATACATAGATAGTTTTTGAAAGTGATGAAAATGCTAAATCTTAGACAAGGAATACATTATAATAACAGACACATAATGCCAATCTTATAACCGTGATCAAATTCTCACACTAACCTACATATCAATTACAATACAGCCCAGAAGTTATTGGGTATGATTTTGCGGGGCAGATTTTCCCTGATGGGTATTTCACGATAAAATATCAATGGAAACACGATGAAATACCGCACAAAACATGATGAAAATTATGCTAGATTTCACACTCGTGAATGGTTTCCTCTATCGGTATTATGCAGGAGATGTGTGATACTCGCATAATCACCCGTTAGTCTATCGTGTTTCATGGTTGATCAATACGCGTATTTGCAACAAGTCACGTCCTCTGCAAGCTAGCGCATGCCTTGCTCATCGCGCGGTGTGCGCTAAGTCTTGATAAGTATGATTTGTACGCGCAGTTCCTTATGTGTCTTTGTTTACGTCACAATAGAAAGTATTTATGTGTAAACATTACACACAGTTAAATACTAGTAAAAGTTGTGACATATTTTTATGTTTACATCTGGTTAAAACAAATAATTGATTGCCCACCTACGTATACACCGCCGGCGCTAAGTCACTGGGCGTGGAGAAGCATTGGGTGCTGATGCCGTGAAGCAGCAAGTAGATCTAACTTTCAAAGTTGCACAAACTTGAACGATTTGCATTCACTTAAATTATAATTGTGAACACAATACCTTTTATTCTCACTGCCATATTTTCTGTTCGCCTACTCCAGATATACATTTCTCATTCCACAACCTCCACCAAATAAAAAAAATATTCCCAAGATCGTCACTTCACAAAACATGCGTGCGATCAGATTCTTTCATTTGCCCTTTCAGTATCATTGACAAGACTACCGTAAGAAGGGTCTCCACCCCTATATAAATGAAAACGTCCAATCATGGATAGTCTTGCCTACTCGTCACACGTCAAAGTTGCCAGGTGGGCTGGTAACCCAGGTAACCTAAACACACATAATAAACATTTTTAGTTGACGACGTTAGATGCTTGATAGTAAAATCTTTAAAAAATGGCACGGATCAATTTCTCATGGACGGAGAAATGTGACAGAGAAGAGAGAGAGAGCAGGGTGAGAGCATAGACCTAAGTATTAGGTCCATGGCGAGAGCGAGAAAATCCCTCTAGTATCTCCATGGGGGGGGGGGCGTAACTTTACAGAATAAAGAGAGAGAGAAATGTTTGATAGGAGCGTGGGCAAGTGAATTCATACAAAGGGAGACATTTGTCTGCCACATGCCACATTCACATTCCTTTTTGTTTTTGCAATAAAACAATTAAACTCCCTGGTTTTAAGTCGAATATGAGAGCTTGCCAACCCCAGTATGTACATAGCTTGCAAGCAAACTCAATGTCATTAAATGGAGATCCAATCGAGAGGGGTTTTCCAAAGTAACACATATGGCCTAGAATTCCGGGAATCCCTGAGCGTGGGTACTACATATCAAATTTTAACTGCTATGTGGGCCATGAGGCACATTGGCTGATCGAGATCGCGTTGCTTTTGTTTTTAAAACAGGTACAGGTTTGTGAAAATGTTGTTTGTGGTCTGTGGCAAAATTTGTATTTTGTAGGGCCATGCAGGCAACTGTTTGGTATAATGAATGAATAGAATAATAATGAAATATTTTTTATTTGGAGTTATGGATCCTTAATTTATTCTGTTGATGATTTTCAATTCTCTATCTCTCTTAATTCTCTTTATATCTTTCACTCTCCCCCCTCTCTCTCTCCCTCTTCCCTCCCTCCCTTCTTTCTTTCTCTCTTCCTGTCACACTAACACTACCCCCCCCCCCTCTTCTCTCTTTTACCCTTTCTTACATTCATACATTCGTGAAAATCTCACAACACCCCTGTAGACATCATTTTAATAGAAATAACAGCCGTATTTATCCACAAATTCTAAGATTCTAACCCCACATTAGATTCGATATGTACATGTTATGATGTATACTCTCGATTAGACAGAAATAACCGTCTGGTATGGGTCATTCTCCAATAAAACTGACATTCGTCAACGTTCAACATACACCGACGGTATGCCTCACGGCTCGCACAACGGAGGAAGATTGAGCCGATTTTGTACCACTTTCTCCCCCCCCCCCCCCCCCCCCCCCCCGTTTTTCTTTATAAAGATCTAATTTTCTAATCTATAAATCAGACGTAAGAAAGTATGTATATTTCTTACTTATATAAAATTCTTAAAATTTTAATTAAATAATTGCAATAGCAAAATTTATCGGCTTATTTTATACGAGTTATCAAATTTTCTCAGAACCAGTGATTCATGTATTCGAACTGTAATCCAGAGCTGCCAACCTCCAGAACAGAAAATCAGTAATCACAAGGCTCAAAATCAGTAATTTCCTATGCGGCGCTATGAATCTAAAACAAGGGAAACACTCTCGGCGGTCTCGCCTGCATTACGCATTTCGATATGATGAAAAATTGAGGTTGGAACATTAGTTATAGGCAGGGTGGCCCATTAGCAGGCCCCAAAAAATGAAATCCTTAGAATATAATCAGCATTTTGAAGTGAATATTGACTAAGAATCACCAGAAGAATTATATACTGTTAATTGTACCATGATCGATAACTTGATTGAAATATGAACAAAGTAATAAAAAAAATGATTTATTAATTCTCATATTATGTTGTGAAAACATAATCCATGTCTACTGACCTAAAATGACCTTTGACCTTGTGACCTGGAATTTGTGTCATATGACTTGTGATACTATCATGATAACCCTTGGGTACAAGTGTCATGGAATTTGAACAAACAATTTGAAAATATGCTAAAAGTTCAGAATCTTGATGTTGATGCCGCAACAAAGTATAAGTTTGTTGACCTTAACTTAGTGACCTGAAATTCTATTCACATGATTGAGGATACTTGATAACCCTATAGTCCAAGTTTCATTGACTAAGAACTTGATTTTTGATGTTGACGCCGCCGCCATCACCGGAAAAGCGGCGCCTATGCCTCGCTTTTTGCTACCGACATTTTTTGTGATTTTACTCACACAAACTTGCTAAATATTGATTTTCAGGTCATCACAACATAGCAGTTTTCCATGAAAAATTGGCTTTTATTAAGAGAATACTTGATATTCAGCAAGTGTTAGATGGCTGCCATACTTCACAGCACACGATATGATAAATTGTATTTACGCTTTTTTTAAAAATCAATCATTTTTTTTCGTTTGATTGTTTTTTTGTAATCCGCAATTTTAGACAACCTTCCGTACTGCGGTAATGATCCTTAATTTCTGTACCAATTACAGGAAATCCAAACTAGTTGGCAGCTCTGGTAATCAATGACATGACCTGGCTGATACATATCTGGGTCAACATACCGAAACAAAGCCAATGGCCGATCAGATCACATGTTCATGAATATTCAAATATCACCAGGTCAAGCCGGGCTGACTCGTACGTAGCTATTGGATGTTTAGGGACAAAAATAATATTCATTCACTGAAATCAGACAGGTCTTTCTCGGATTAAACATTAATTTAGGATCTAATTAGGCAAGCTATCGTAAGTCAAAGTACACATTTCTGTTTCAATTTCTTTTTTAAAAATAATATGTAATAATATGAGAAGACGTAAAGAGTGGAAAAGAACTCATTCATCTCGGTCCGGCCGAACCAAACTATTCCACACAGTACCCCATAGGACGTAGAGGCAGTCAGAGGAGCCAGATGTAATCTTATTGGAATGACCATTGATATCAGAGACTGAAAATTTCAGTCTAACAGTCGATATACTCTGTTATGCACTATCCCAAACATTCCTCCCCCCCCCCCCCACCCCCCCCCCCCAAAAAAAGAAGAAAAAAGTATGACATATAGTGGAGAAGACCAAGACACCTGTTCTTGGTTTCTACACTTCTATCATTGGATATAATGTTCTCTCCGCGTACGCAATTCCAAAAATTCCCCGTAACACATTGTCTCGTGTGTTTTATGCTCAAAATGAAAAGAACATTCATGCATGCTTTTGTGATGTAATAATCAAGTGATTGTGACGTCAGTGGTAAGCGCGCATCGGTATGATTGGGGATGCGCAGGCCATTTAAGCAAGCTAGCATATTGCGCAATGGCAGTTTCTCAACAAGCGTATAATTGCGGTTCTATTGTGATAATAACACAAGCTACAACGAAAATAACACGATCGGCATCAGGGATTTAGCGAGATGATCAAGTTGAGAAAAAAAATCTCGATAGGGATGAGTACAAATCAAAATGATTTTCACAATAATTTTACGATGCTCAATACCGCATCCACCTATCGTGTTTCCCGATCCAGCATGCCAAATAACTTCTGAGCTGTATTGTAGTTGGTAAAAAATAACAGCATAGTAGAAAGAGGAAATTCCAAATCACATGTCTGCTAATCTAACAATCTCATCATACTAGTAATAATATTCATTGCCTTCTTTCAAAATGTCCAATACATCCACCGGGCAAAAGGTACCGGTATACAGTGCTTTTCATAACTCAATAATAAAAGGTGGATAGGTTGAATTACCATATTTGCTGGCGTAAAGGCCCCAGTATTTTTGGAAGAGAAAATATCAAAAAGTCGGGGTGCGTCCTTTGCAGCAAGTAAAAAAAAAAAATTGCAAGTCAAAACCATGAAACACAGCACAAATTTGTACATATGGGACAACAATGAAAGGTGATAGACATTTCTAGAATAACTGCCTAGAATAACAAATGTCTTACCGACAATTATGTGTTATATTTTTTAAATGAAGGGGAAAGTTTTGTCAATCTTGTAAATAAATTCATAACTTACTAACCAAACTCTATACTGGTAGATCTAGATTTAAGTTTTTGCCATAGCTAAAGCACCCTCAATCCTCTCGGCTCGCGCGAGCAATTAAGCTATGGCGCAATCATAGAGCAATATGGACGCAATACATAAGAAAAAGCTGCAAGAGAAATCATCAGGGTCGGGATGGCCGAGCGGTCTAAGGTGGTGGCAGTCTACATTTGTACGCGTGGGTTCATATCCCACCTCCGACAATTTTTTTTTTTTTAAATGTCAAAATCGGGGGTGCGGCCTATGCAACACTGCGGCCTCTTCGCCTGCAAATACGGTAAGGCTTTTAGCTGTAACTTTAATATTTGTCACATTCTCAAGAAACAAATTGGGACAAATAAAATGTTCACATAATTAAACTAGATGGAACTTCGACTGCACGCAGTCGAAAATGATGCCTCCGTCAAAGAGCAATTTTACAAACCAAAACAGAAGAAATGTTTCAAATTCAAGTTCAATTGTAATCCATTAACAGGTTCTCAGAATATCGTGATTACAAGCAATTTCTCATATACATATATGACCCTTTGATCTTTGACCTCATGACCCTAAAATCTACTCAGTTCATTGGCTCTGCAAGATACATACATGATCTAAGTTTGGCAGGTATCCATCAATCGGTTCTTTAGATAACGCGATCACGAGCTGTTTTTGCATACATAATGAGCCCTGTGACCTTTGACCTTTGAACTCGTGACCGCAAAATCTAATCAGTTCATCGGCTCTGCAAGATACATACATGACCAAAGTTTGGCAGGAATCCATCAATCGGTTCTTGAGATAACGCGATCACAAGCTGTTTTTGCATACATAATGAGCCCTGTGACCTTTGACCTTTGACCTCGTGACCCCAAAATCTAATCAATTCATCGGCTCTGCAAGATACATACATGACCAAAGTTTGGCAGGAATCCATCAACTGGTTCTCCAGATAACGCGATCACAAGAACGGGACGTACGTACGTACGGAGGTACGGACGGACGGACAACCCAAAAACATAATGCCTCGGATACTTCGTAACGGAGGCATAAAAAATACAACACATGGTAAGGATAGGAATAATTTCTTTTTAACTGTAATTAAATTCTTGTATGAATTGCCTATATAGAATTGTTTTACCAGATCCTGAGAAGTACTTGGCCTGTTCTCCAATCTTGTGATCTAGGTCTCGGAGGTCTGTGAGGGTCTTCTCCAGTATCTGGATATCAGGTTTCATATCCCTCGCCATCGCTTCATCCACCTGCAACATACTGACGTTATCTTCAGCCTACAGGAAGGAAAGATCAAGGGATGGAAAGGCAGACAGAATTAGAACTCTGGTTCATGTCCCTTGTCATCGCTTCATCAACCTGCAACATCGACGTTATCTTCAGCCTATGGGAAAGAAAGACAGACAGAATGAGAACTCGGGTTTCACGTCTTTTGCCATATACATGCAAAACACCTAGGGTCCGTTCTGCCTACAGAGAAAACAGAGACATACAGATGGATGAAATTACAAAATGACAGGAGTGGAACATAGAGGGGGAAAAGAGGAAGGACAGAGTATTTATACAGAAAATAGAGAGAGAGAGCTAGGGGGAAAGGGAGAAAGAGAGAGGGAGAGAGAGAGAAAGAGAGGGAGTGAGAAAGAGAGAGAGAGAGAGAAAGAGAGAGAAAGAGAGAGAGAAAGAGAGAGACAGGAAGAGAGAGATTGAATTGGAAGAGAACTTATTTAAACAGAGACATACAAATAGATGAAATCAAAGGTTGAGATAGTATGAATGATAGATAGAGAATGAGAAGAGTTTCAAAGAGATATAAAAAGTCCTTTATTCAAGAAAAAGAAAATGAGGATTGACCAAAGACAAAATCAATTGCAGCTGAGAGGCACAAGGAAGAAATGATTATATCACTATCACCAATATAGAGACATGTCATATAAAGGCTGCATCATCTGATATGAATCATTATGGCTTGTTCATATGTCACCACAAAAGATTGAAAAACGCCACAGCATTTTTTTAAAAGTGTAAACGAATACTAACTGCTTGCAACAAAGTTCCTTTCCATATTCACTGAGTTTTGTGTCACAAGATAAGGCTGTGACGAATACTTGAATACACAGTCATCTTTTGGGGGGCCAATTAATGCCCCTCCACCTTTTTTAAATGGCAGACGAGTATTCGCCTGTAAGGCTGGGAGTATACTCGAGTATCTCATTACACAGTTATGCACAGCCTTATTATAAGATACAGAAACGTGATGCGCATTATTAAAAAAACGCTGCGGTTTTGCCCCTGTCAAATCTAAACCAGGCTTTACACATGCATACGACATCACAACATTCCTATCATTTTCCCCAACATGTGATTATTATATCAATACTCACCTTACTAATGGTTGCATTGAGCTTTTCAATATCAGCATTGACAGCAGATAGCTCCAGCTTGAGGTCTGGGATCTCTCGCTCTGACAACTTCTTCACCTGGAGAGAGAAAGAGAGAGAGAGAGAGAGAGAGTAGCAAAGTGGGTTCAGATAATGGTTTCTTTAACATCATCAATAGTGATCTGTCAGCTTATGACAGGCTCAGTGACCCAATCAGAATTCTACATCAAAACATTTACTATGACTAGGAAGAATTTTGTCAATGAATATTTTGTATTATCCTCATATGTTGATCACAATCTGTACTATTAAGAGTTACATGTACTTTTAAAGGAAACAATACCAAACTTACAGCATCCTTAATTGGTCTGAGTACCCACAGACGATCAGATTGTTCCTTCTGCTGCGTAATGGAACGTTCCTTTTCTACTAGCTTGCTTGGAGCCAGGCGAAGTTCATCTTGCAGCTAGAGGTGTAAGAAGAGAACAAATTAAATAAGAAGTAGCCTGAAAGGACAACTTCAACTTGTTAACAAATCACAAACAAATTTAGTAGAGTAGAGTAGAGAGAAGAGGGTGTCAAACAAAACAAATACACCATTTATTCCAAAGAAGAAATTAGTATAAAAATGATTGTCAAAAGATTTCCTTCAATGTGTATGTATGTGCCTCTGTTTCTGCAAAACTGTAGCACTGACACTAGGTTCAAACTGGGTCTAAATTGCTGCCAGCCAGCTACAGTCTACTGCGCTGCATGACAATTACGTCTCATTTCAAAATGATGGATAGCTGAACTCGATATCGAGTACGTAGCTCATGAAATATCATTATTTCTGTAAGATATTATGAATATCTATAGTATTATTTGTCAAAGCAAATTATTATTTTACAGTAATTTTGCTGAATTGGAGTCCCTTAAAGTCTTATGTGATGTTTTTTAATTGGTTTAATGCTTATTGTTCCGATCAGGTCGGATGACGTGTATGGATGTAAACACGCATATCAAGCTTGAAATACTTAACTAATACGTAACTTAATTCAGCTTGCTGTTACACACTCATTTTTAGAACGAACGAAAGGCACTTCGATGTTATTTCAAGAGCTTTAAATTATTTTCCTTCATCAAAATATCAAGGGTAAACCATTATGTTGTGGATATATTTTGACAATTAAATTAATGCCTTTTTGTATTACGATTTAATTGTAATAGTCTGATCAACATTTTAGTCCTCTGTGTGGGACTTTCTTAACTTGCTCGGTCTTCAGTGGGTCATATTTCCACTTCCGTTTCTGAACGCACTCAGTACCACGCACGAAGCGTGATTCCTTTCTTGCAGCCTCAATTTTAGAGCGATAAAAACACCTACCGTCAACTGAAACGATATCCATTTATTTTTTAAAGCATCTTAATTTAATTCAATTGATTATTTTATTGTTTTGAAAGCAGTAACTGTCTTTTCCGTCGCATTATTAGAACAGCAACTAGTCATAACTTCCGCCGCTGCATGCACACAATTTTAAGTGTCAGTGGTGAAAATTTCGGGTACCCGGTCACCGGCCAAAATTTTCAAGTCAAACCCGGGTTCGGCAAAATCCGTGATGACTCAGGCCTAGTAGGAATGCTCCCCAGGGAGTGAAGTTGGTGCACATTGTGCCTGAATGAATCCAATGACTGGGGTAATAATATATGTAAAGCGCTTATGGAGCTCTCACACTCTGCCGTGTAGGCCTACCGTCCACCTGCCGGGCTATTAAAAAAAAAACAGAGTCCAGAACGTTGGGTTTTGAGCGAACTTGTCCCCGGCCGCAAAAAAAATTCATAAAATTAATCTTTTCACCGTTTCGTTGCCATCTTCTGACCGTTCTCACCGGTCGCATACCGGGTGTTGAACGTGCTTCTACCGTCTTCACCGCCCAGATTGACTTTTGTTGAAAATTTTGGCCATTTCCATACCGGGTCTCGAACGTGTGCACCGGGTTTGTAGCAGCCACCTACCAGTCACTTAGCGTCCCCTCAGCGCTCCGAGCGTCCTGTGAGCGAGTCCCCGGACTGCTGACGTTCATGACACGTTCACAACCCGCTTACAACCCGTTGCAGACGGTGGATTTTTTTTTTGCTCGTTCATCACCGTTCTGTAACGGGTTATGAGCGTGTTGTGAACGTGTTCATACAGTGTGACCGTTATCATAACGTATTCATACCGTCCTCATACCGTTCAACACCGTCCTATTGCCGCTTACTTGCGGCCGGTGCCAGCCGGCCAAAGTTTTGAACATGCCCAAAACTTTCGCCGGGTCCCACCGGGTGTAAATAAGCGCCAACGCCCTATTAACGTGTTGCCCGCTTTGATAACGAACCACCGTGTGCCCTCGCCGTTCTCCACCGTCCGCAGACATTTTCGCGCACGGTGGCACACGGTAGGCCTACACGGCAGAGTGTGAGAGTCACTTTAGACACATTCCGTATAAAGCGATATAAACTCCAAATTATTATTAGGTGATACGTACGTAGACGTATCACCTTTTGATTTTATCAAGATTTTTATTTATTTATTATTATTCTTCCTCAAATTTGTTCGCAGGATATCTCAAGACTGAATGAAGCCATTATCATGAAACTTTCAATGATGATAGATCTTAGTGTAACTTAGAACTGTGTGACTTTTCAGAGAGTCGAGGTCATCGTGACGTCATCCAGGCGCCATTTTGTGAAAATCAACTTATGATCATATCTTCATAACGGAAAGCCATTTTTCATTCATAATTATCATGATTAAGATTAATATCCGTCCGGTCAATTTCAGGTCTCTGTAAATATTGATCGATTTTCTTTCAAATTTTGATATGTTCTACCTGAGACAATTTTCTACGAATATATCATCCACATTTTTCCATTTTGACAAAAGCATCATGGTGTAATTTTGCAATTAAAGGAGGCATGTCAATTTTTCACATTTTGCGTGTATTCTCTACGGGACATGACTTTTTCTTAAAACTGGATTCTACACTCCTGTCTTTCGCGAGCAAAATCTCCATTGTTTTAGCTTAGTTTTCGCTGAGCTTCGAATATGTTGTAGCTGAGACAATAAGCTATCTCACGTGTGCCTTTTATTTTTCGATCAGATGCCGGGATTATGCTCATATTTCACTTGCAAAGAAGGATTTGAGAATTCCATTTCCCGTTTACGTGTAATCGCTTTGGGAAATGTTTGGGTATATCGGTAAGGCACTTGACTTCCATCCTCGAGATCCATGGTTCGAGTCCGGGTGTCTCCAACAATAATTGTCTTCAATTTTTTTTTTTTTTGACCTTTCACTGTACCATCTCCTTTGATTATTACAACACGTAGAATCGCAAATAATGTAATAAACAACCCTATTTTACTTTATTATTACCCTATTTTCACTTAATCCATTACTTTTTGCGTTTAATCCCTACGGGAGATGACTTTTTCTCAAATCTAGTTTCTACATTCCTGTGTTTTGAGCAATATCGCCGATATTTCTGCTTGGATTTTGTTGATTTTTGAGTATGTTGTAGCTGAGACAAGTTTCCACAAGATTTATGTAGACTATTTAACATTATCATGACGTTATCATAGTCAAAAATTTTATCATAGGTGACATGTCAATTATAATATATAATAATCCTCAATCGAATACCTGAAGGGGGCGCTATACCACTTTTAATCATGGTCATCTGGAAGGCATTGTTGTCAATTGCATCTCTCTCTCTCTCTCCTCTTTCTTGCTCTTTTTCCTTTTCCTCTCATGTTCTGCCCCTCTCCTTTTTTGGTCTGTCTCTGTATCTATCTATCTCTCTTCTCTTTCACCCTCTCCCTCTCTCTCTCTCTCTCTCTCTCTCTTGCCTCCCTTTTATTCTCTTGGTCTGTCTCCCTCTGCCCTACAGTTGAAACTTGACTCATGGATAGACCATAATGGGAGTAGTAAACGAAAGATGAAGTCGTGAAAATGCGTGCTTAATTATGTTACACATGAGCATACGTATCACCTAATTCGTCAAAGTGACGAATTAAAGTCTAGTTATTATTATTATTACAGAGAACAAAATTTATACACATGTAAGTTTACACAACATTGGGTTTAGCATGTAGCTTTGGACCATACCTCTTGAACGAGTTCCTGGACCTCTACTCCTGAATCAAAGCCACGGTGACAGAGAGGACAGAGTGCATCAGTTCGTTGCAAAGATTGGATGTATCGATCAAACAGATGCTTGCTACCTGTCAATGCACCATGCTCACTGCAATCAGCACACAAACAGCAGAAATGTAATGTTGAAAGTATGGATAAGTGTGACAAGCCAACAAATTCTTTAAAAATTAATGACTTCTGGCTTGTTTCCTGATGAGGTATATTTTGTTTTCTCTTTTCACATACCGGTACACTCTCAAAGGACTGGGATAAATCTCTGTTTATGTCATCAGATACCAAACTCTTGCAAATCAAAGATAGATTAACAAGATTCTATATCATGCCATAATTATGATAGCATAAACTCATGAAATGCAGCCAACATTCAAATATTGTTTGTAAAGTTTCATGGCAAATGAGCAACATAGTGGCTGTCATCACTAAATATCAGCAGCAGGACAAATCATTCAGTTCCAGGTTTTCTATTGGATGGTGAAGATGGTAGTAACCAGACATCATGTACTCACTTCTGAAGACTGTTGATAGATTGAGTGATTTTTTTAATAGATTCATCGATATCTTCACTTCCACAAGCTGACATCAGCTGATCTGTGTTGCTTCTCAGTTCATCTTCTTTCTTCTTCAATTGGTCCCTGAAAGACAGAAGAGTTAACAAATTGGAAACTTATAAAAGAAAAAATCCTTTATAAAGCAAATATAAAAGCAAATCAAATAACAGAATAGCAGCAAAACACCCTGTAGCAATAATCAAACCTCTTTAGTATTTGTAGAGCCACTATAGTACTTCTAAACTCTCAAATGAACATCCCTTACTAAAATGTATTTGGAAGGAAAAATAGAAGGTCTCAAATATGCCCTTAGATATCAAAGAGAAAGATCAAATACTCACATGATTGTTTTCTTGTTGGCCTGCTTAGCTGAGAGATCCCTCCCAGCATGATTAAGTTTATTATTACATCTCTTCACCTCTTCTGTCTTCTCACTAGAATTAATCAAATTCAATTCAAACGATCATTTCACCAGCTCAACTTTGCAGACTTTTGAAAGATAATTACTTGTAAAAATTAAAATTTGGCAATCATCCGTAACTTTCACAACACTGTAATAAGTATTAAGCAGCATGCTCTAGATCTTAAAAACAAATCACTGTACTTGTATCCTTTTTGTCTCATTTGTATTGGAGACAAGTTTAAAGAGCACAATGCTGGCTTGATAAATGGGATGCAAAAAATTAATAGATAAAGTAATCAACTACATGCATTCTTTTCTTGCTCCAGTAGATAAACAGGATTGTGCAGATTTTGATTACTTTTTTTAATGGACAATCAATGCTCAACAAGATTTCATAAACGATAGCATGAACATACTAAAAATGAAAAGATATCAGAAGCAGTATACAGTGTGAGTCAAAAAAAGTTTACACCTACAAAATTGCTAATTATTTTTAAGATCATCTATGAACAATAAATTATTATACATCTTATGAAAGAGTGTTTTATCCCAAATTATTTGGTATCATTTTTGTGTGGTATGTGTTCACGCTTGGATGAACAGGAGGCATTGTTTGCAAGAGTGCAAAAAATCAACTTGCAACAAATTTGCTCATGGGATGTTTGAATAAAACAATTGGGATTAGGGAATGAAATCGGTTTTTGCAGATCCAAATAACATCCCTAACAAAATTAATCATGCCACACATATCCAATATCAAATACCATTTGTGCGTGTGTGTGTGTGTGCGTGTGTGACTTTGCTTCTGCAATGCATTTCATTTGATACATTCAATTCATTCTCTCACTCCGCTAATCCCAACATAATACATGCTGTAGGCATCACTTTGGCGCAAGTCGATTTTTGAACCCCCCCCCCCCATAAGCCCCCTGTTCATCCAAACGTGAAAATATACGTGAAAATATATGATTTGGGGTAAAACACTCTTTCATAAGATGTATAATAATTTACTGTTCATAGATGAATTTTTAAATAATTAGCAATTTTCTAGGTGTAAACTTTTTTTTTTTACTCACACGGTATAAAGAAAATATTTCCACATTTTCTGAGTGCTTTAAGTCAGTAGTCACTAGTCAAGCACATTATTTTAAAGAAAACTAAAATAAATCTCTTACTCAATGTATTTGGAGAGCTTGGTTCCAATGTTCTCTGTAGGAAAGTGATCAACTTGAAGAAGATGCAACATTTCTTCCTCGCGCTTTCCTCTCCTATCGGGTTACAACAAAAAACATGAATTAAATGGGTATTTTAATTTTAAAATAACAGCTAAAAAACATTATTATAAGCAGTTAAATGACTGAATTGTTAAAAATGTCACTGATAAAGAAATGGTAATTACATTAATAAGATAATTAGAGAATTAGAGAGAATACAAAAAGAAGAGAAGGGAGAAGTTAGGGGAGGGGAAGGGAAAGTTGAGAAGGGGGAGAGGAAGAGAGAGAAGGAGAGGGAGAGAGAGAGAGAGAGAGGTGGGGTGAATTGGGGGGGGGGGGGGAGGTGAATAAGGAAAAAAGAGGAAGAGCCACACAATATTTAAGATATATGAAATACATTCTAGGTTGATTTGACATGTGATATATCTACAAAACAAGGATCTGTGAATCAATGCATTTATTCTTTGATTCAAGTTAGAAGAGAGAGGGAAACAGAACAAAAACTTGTATGATTAGCAACAGCAGTTACAGGCATAGGGAAAGTATGGGGCTAGAAGCCAACATTTAAAAACAATATTTAGAGAAGCAAATTATGTCAGAAAACTAAACTGGTAAAATATCTTACATAACTCGTAAATTTGGTTGTACTGACAATAATAAGCTGACAACTTACAGGTTTCTTGTCTCATTTTCTTTGGTATTCTTCTCTTTCTGCATCATCTCAAGTTTAGCTCTCGCTTGTGACTGAGATGAGATGGTTGTCAACTCATTCCTGTGGGGAAATAAATCATAGCATTAGCATCATCTGGGAAGATATGTAGCAGGATATATAAAAGTATCTGGATATTTTCCTTATTGCCACACACAGGCATTAAATGGGTATCTGGAGGGATGCGAAAATCAATCGATCAAGGTCACTCTCCTGCAAGATAAACATCCAAAAATGTATTTCTACATGGTGTTGTGGTCTTTGATTCAAGTTAGAAGAGAGAGGGAAACAGAACAAAACTGTTGCTAATCATACAAGTTTTTGTTCTGTTTCCCTCTCTCTTCTAACTTGAATCAAAGACCACAACACCATGTAGAGGTGTTGTGGTCGAGTGGATACGTCGCCGGACTGTCGATCACAAGGTCCGCGGTTCGAGTCCCGCCGCCGCACTAATGTCCTTTGGCAAGATATTGATCTACATTTGCCACACTCCACCCAGGTGAAGTAAATGGGTACCCGGTAGGAATTTATTCCTTGAAATGCTAGAGCGCTATAATGGCAGCACAGCTAAAGCCGGGGTAATAATAATATCCAATATGTCATGCGCAGTTGAGTATATACATATAGAAACTGCGCATTATAAATTTACAATTATTATTATTATTATTATTATGATTGTCTTCAATCTGTAGCTCAATGCATCAATTTTGTGGTCTCAGATGTCTCAATTTTGTGGTCACAGATGTCTCAATTTTTGTGGTCTAAGATGTATCAATTATTGTGATCCTTATCTAATGTCTTTCTTACTTTAGCTGCTCAATATATTTTATCTGTACATTGATTTGAAGACATGTGGATTTAATCAAAGACAGTTGGAGATATTGGCTTGTTCTAAGGAGATATTTGCTTGGTCTAAGGAGATATTGGCTTGGTCTAAGGAGAAACTGGCTTGGTCTAAGGAGATATTGGCTTGGTCTAAGGAGATATTGGCTTGTTCTAAGGAGATATTGGCTTGGTCTAAGGAGATATTGGCTTGTTCTAAGGAGATTTTGGCTTGGTCTAAGGAGATATTGGCTTGTTCTAAGGTGACTTACGTGAGATCAGACATCCTCTTATCATACTGCTTTGCTTCTCTCTGTAAAGAATCAATCTCTTGTTTGACGTCATCAACATTGAGACTGCCCTCTAACTGATTAAGCTCACTCTCCTGAAAGATAAACATCACAAGATGCATGATTCTCAATCTTTGATGCTATCACCTGTAGCTCAAGACATAAATAGATGACGTTGATAATAATGCAGTCAAACCTGTCTATAGCGACCATCCAAGGGAAACACAAATAGTGGCCGTTGTAGACAGGTATGCGTTAGCTGCCATTTTGATTTTGATTGACAGCACTTGCAAGGCCTCCACCAGTGTGCAAACAATTCTCTGTGGCTTTATAAGGGCTCAGTCAGGCGAAAACGAGGCGCAGAGCCGATCGATAAATCTAACAAACGCAAGTTTATTTTTTGGTGTTTAAAAATTAAATAAACAAAGAGTAGTACAATTTTTAGTCAAAATAAAAATATAAAATGATTAAACATAATTTTCTTTCTTTAAAATTGTCCGGCATTTAAAAAAAGAAAGCATATCAAAAATTATTTAAAAGAAATGGGCCTCAAAATTTGATTGACAGACAGGCCGCGCCCACTCATCAGGCCTCTGGGTGCCTAGCTAGCTGTGTGATTCATTGATTCAAAGATTCATTGATTGCTATTTTTTCTATAGGCACAGCCTATAATGAAATGTGCAACAAACAATATTTTGTCGGTAATTACGGTAAATGTTTTGATTGAAGTTTTAATGAAAGCTTAGGATTGAATAGTTAGATCTAGCTTTGTAAGCTGCCGCTAGTGCAGACGATCGCCTAGCTGTGAGCTAACTTGTTCAAGTGCTGCTGCGGCTGGTCGCTACACAGCTGTTGTTGGTCGCTATACGACTGGCAATGGCGGTCGTTGTGTAGGCATTTTCGGTGGCCAGTGGAAGCAAAATGAGTGGCCGGTGGTTGCGTTAGACAGATGGTCGTTGTGTACAGGTTCTTAACTACATGAAATCTCACAGGGGATTTTAATTGTTCGGTATGGACAGGTGGTCGTTAACACAGGTTTGACTAGTAATAAAACGATAATCGTTCCTAATTTGAAGGGAAGAGAGTTTCTTTTTTTCTTCTTTTTCAGTCTCGATAAATTATGCCCCGGCCTTCACATAGCACGTATTTGCCGGCTGAAGCTCACCCATGTCTTCAGCTCAGTCACCCGTATCATGCAGCTCACTCACACTGGGAATATCGACTCACCACTCGAAATCTAGCCTGTCAGAATTTCTGTTTGGACTCAGAGCAAAATTTCTCTGTAATTTTTTGTTTTAAAAACAACATTGTTACTATTATTTGTGACAAGTTCACAAGCACTTCAACTGCGCCTTGTAATAAATTAAAGTCCTTCCCTGCATGGCTTGTGTTTCCGAACGTACCATACCAAACGCTGAAATAAGACGAGATCTGATCTGGCTTGCTGCAAAAAAACAAAACCAAAAGCAAAACAAAATTGGGTCTTGGTCATAAAAATAGGGTGTGTCTTATACACAGGTGCATCTTAAACACAGAGATCTATGGTACAAGTGAAAATAATAGAATCAGTAATGCTAGTTTATACAAGATGGAGAAAAAAATTCATCCATTCATATAGTCTCTGTCTTTATTTGTGTCGGGATGTGAAAGTTTTAGATCAAGGTCTTTAAAGAGAGACTAAAGTTAGGAATGCGAGGTACTGAAGGAATGCTAACGTATGGGGAGTGGTTAATCACCTGTTAGCACCGTATCACTGAAGGAGTCTTTAGTAGTAATGTCCTTACTCGATGTTAAATTAGTTAATTGATATGAACGGAGATACATGTGGAATTAACGCTTCAAAAAAATCTTAGCGGAAGGATTTTATGTTACGCCTTGAGTGTAAGCTACTCTCGAGCGTGGGTTTTCTAATACGTGCTCATTGCCATCTAAAGCTATGCTGAGGGAACGGTGTGCAGTCACCAGTCGGTTGAGAAAGTTTAATTGTAAGTTGCATTACTTTGTATCATAGGTTGAAATTACATTGGTAATATGAATTATACATCATGTTGCATGTGGGTGAAGTTTTGAGAAGATTTATATGCACCGTTTGATATATATTTTAGTGACAAAATAATGTTGGTTCATTGAACATGTTTTTAGTGCGACCATGTTTATTTAGTATCGTAGAGGGCTCTCTGAATGTAAGCATAAAAGATGGCGGCGCCCACTAGCCGTACTTTGTTAGGTGTAATCAAGGGTTGTTAAAAAGGAAGCTTTAACACTGATTGAAGTTAGTATAATAATATAAATTGATTGTAAGCTTAAATGATATATTAAGTGAGATGATTATTTAGTTGATGGTCTTGTAAATGCAGGCATAGTGGAGCTCTTGGAGTGATTTACTTACAAAATGTAATTGTTGTTTTATCCTCAGTGAGTCTACATTGAACGAGTATCTGTAGCTGAAAGCCGACTGGTTTTTGCTAGTTCTTCAAGTGACCTTGGGTACGAGTCAATTTATTATGTAATATGATATTTAATTAAGGGTAAATGAAAACACTTAGGAATGATTGTATGGTTTGTATTTGAATACCGACAAAAATAACGTGGTTCGGTTTAATACTGATATTGCTGATATGATACTGATAGGGTGATGAATGATAGTGAATCTATTGGTAATGTAAATATTCTCCTTATGCCTTGAGAATCTGTTACTGTTTAGGGAGGTTATTATCCAAGATACATTTCTGGGATGAGTGTTTTTCCTAGTAGTTAGCAGTTGCTGTGTGTTATTAATATTTGATAGCAATGGTTTGATAGTATTGATTCGATGATGGCATCATCTGTAAATGTGGCTTTTAATGGAAAGTTCTATAAACACAAAAGGATTTCTATGGATATTGGAAATATGTTTAATGGTTATTATAATGATCTAGGTAGGTCATATTACTAGGCATCCTTTGTTAAGATTGAAGACTGATACAATTAGGATACTGGTAATTATTGAAGCTTGGATGCATTTGATAGTGAAAGTATTGAGCTCTTTAATATTTCTGATTTCTGTGGGTTAAATTTGCATTAGTTGCAAGGGACAATGTTTTGCTGAAACAATGTTATACATGTTTATCTAGTGTCTGATGATGATGTATGTATCATATCATTTGCAATGATATGTTCATTTTGTTTCTGTTTGTTCTTTGCAGGGTTTCTTATTTCTTTGCTTTATTGCTTTGCAATAAAAGTAATTGAACTTCAGATATCTGTCATGACTCCTTCATTTGAGTAACCCGAGTTACTAATCCTACTCATCCCGGTGGAGCTCACCCCTCCCCACCCCCCGACATTTGCATATTTTCTAAACTATAGTGGTATATAAGTACAAACCACAATACACAAATTTGATTGCTTTTTCTCCTATTTTGAAGTTTTGTTTCGATTTTGTTGTTGTTGTATATATCGTGTAATTGCGAACAATAGCCAATTTAGGTTTCAACAGATAATACACCCCTTCTCGGTTAAGGCCGCCATTTTAATTTGTGAGTAAACATTGCATCATCAATGTTTTCAGACGCGTATGTATTGTTGCGTCACTGCCTGTGCTGGCGCTCACATCGTATCGACACATGCACTTTGCATGCTGCATAAAATAAAAGTTACTTACAATTTTTACTCGCAATTTAAAATGGCGCCCATGTTGGCGCATACACACTCTTGTAATCGTGAAAAGGTGTACCATAAATCTCTGTGTATAAGACGCACCCCTATTTAGGGGGCCAAATTTAAAAAATAAAAAAAAAAGTGCCATGTCCGTGTTCAAAAACTCACGCAGGGAAGGACCTTTATTTTACTGCGAGGTGCAGTTGAAGGCACCGATTTGTGCTTGTGAACTTGTCACAAATAATAGTAACAATGTTGTTTTTAAAACTAAAGATGACAGACAAATTCCAAACAGTCCAAACAGGAATCAGGCCATACAGATAGTGTTGTTCAAGTTTCCGAGTAATGAGTCAACACACCTTGTGTGACTGAGCTGGGAGACATTGCCAGGCACAGTGCAGGTGGAGGGGCATAAATCGACACTTTAAAAAAATCACTCCATACAATCACTCCATTATCAAAAGATGCTGAACAGGCGTTGATGAGTATTACCATAGAAGTAGAAGTAGAAGAAGAAAACAACAACAACAAATGCTTAAAACAAACAGGTAAAGACTTAAACAGGTGATTGACAATCATAAATGACCAAGTGGACTTACAGCTCCTTTCTTCTCCTTCTCAAGCTCCTTGAGTCTCTGTGAACTCTCTCCCATCGTGCTTAGCTCTCCCTTGATCTCTTGGAGCTTAGAAGAATTATCATTCTACCATCATGGAAAGAAAAAAAGGTGTAACAGTAAATAGTTGCTAAGTTTAACCATAATTCCTTACTGACATCATGACATAGGCTTATGATGTAATGTAATACTTGAATGTCTTCATGACATTTGAAATAAAAGCTTGCGGTTCTTGCTAGGTATGGTTTGTTGCCTGCCAAAGGTCTTTGTAGACCTTTCCTATGCCTTAAGAAATGAAGAACAGTTGATGGGTTCCAGTAATTTCATACAAAACTGAGCATTATACAAATAAAAAAATTAAGAAAAAACAAAGTGTACTTAGTTAGCTACTACACTACACAAATTGTTTGTTCATCCAACTTTATGCCACGATGCACAAAACTATTTACAGGTTTAGACTTATTGGTAAACAGCTGTTCAACAATGAAAGGTCAAAGAAATCTGATAAAACAGATTTGGATACTATATACCGGTACCGGTAAGCTGATATTTTTTTTGCAAATTTCATGATTTGCATATTATCGCAAATTTATCAACACGCGAAAATATTGGCACCTCATCATTCCGGAGCGTGAAAATATTGGCATAAAATTATGTGCTTGTGTACTAGTATACATGTAGTAACTGCCTTAGCGATGTTCGTAATGCAATGCTGTTGCCTCGCGCCCAGCGCGTATACTGCAAAGATTACACGACGCACGCATGTAATCCATGTACCGTATACCGGTACGGTACACGGCTAGCTGTATGTGGTGCGATGGGCTGCCGAAATTTTTGTGTGTACTTACGTGACCGAGTCTCTGTGTGTATGTGTTGGCGTGAGAAAGTTTGTGAATACTTTATGCCCCTGCCAATTATTTGACTTGGGTCTTTTTCTCCAATGTAATGTGCAATATCTAATTCGTGTGCAATATCTAATTCGAAATTACACTATATTGTTATTTAAATACTCATTCTAATCTTATTTGAACAACTTTCTCGATCTAGATGAATGCTGTCATTACGATTATATTTGGAATAGAGACTGTCATTTTGACTTTTACTGTTTAATTTCATCACGTCCAATAGGTTTTTTTTTAATGCTTAATTTGAATTTTTGTAATAGAAATGTTTGTTTAGCAATTGTTAAATACTTTCTCAACTCTTTCGCTTAAACAACTTCCTTTTTTCTTCTCCATTCTCTCCTTCCCACCGTCTTGGTCATTAAACATGAAAGTATATTATTACATTAAACATATAACTTTGTTTTGCAATTTCGATTTCATCTTACAATGACTTACAATATGTATTTTAGTTTTGTATATGTTTATATCTCTCTATATTTTTAATTTGTTTGTAAATTGAACATTTTCAGCCAGCGAGCTGCTTGTTTGATGTATTTTCTCAATAAACCAAACCAATCCAATGCCCATTCATTAATTCTGCTGTGTGCTATTCACAAAAATGTCTCTTAGCCTGTCATTCACGAAAATATATGTACGTGAAAATATCAGCTTATACAGTAGTAGCTAATATAGACATTAAGCCGGAGAGAAAGAGAAAGATGCATGGAGGGAGGGATGATAGATGGAGTAGAGAATGAGAGAGAGAGAGAGAGAGAAAGAGAGAGAAAGAAGGAGGGATGGATAGATGAGTAGAGAAAGTGAAAGAGAGGGAGAGATAGACAGAGACAGAGAAAGAGAAAAAGAACTCACAATGGTAGCCGTCTTCATCTTAATGGTTGTCTCTAGACCTGTGTAGGTAGCTCTGAGATCCTGTGACTGTTTATCAACCCCCTTCTCTCTATCTTCATGCTGCTTCTTGATCCTCTCTGCTTCCCCTCTCTGAGCCTCCATCCATTCCTTTGACTTCTCCATGAAATCACCCGCCCTGCTGGAGGTAAACTCTCCAGTCTTACTGTAACCAAGGAGATGAAGCTGGTTCGCTAGGCCACGCATTCTACGGTCTCGTTGACGGATCGTCTCTTGTTGTTCCTGCAAAGCAGGAATGAAAAGAAACTTGTAATTCCAAGTAATATTAAATAACAAGCCTATAAAGAATTTGCCTGATGTGTTCACAAGAAGTTCATAGCAAATAATCAGCGCAAGCAGAGTGGTAAAGTACATATGCATTACAAACTTCATGATTATAAACTATATACAACAAACATGTTGTTTGAAATATCAATGCTGCCGATGCATGCATTTACAGAAATGATTACTCCCGGCTATGCCACTGGCAGCTATTACTAACCTGCAGTGCATTATCAGGAACAAATCAAGCCAGATACTCACTTACTTCACATGGCCTAGTTCAGATAGAAAATGTTCATTCCAAGGTGTAAACAGTGAAACAATATTTGAGCAAGAGAAATCTCAATTGAAATCGCTGCACTAGTGTTCTCAAAGACATATGTTCAGAAGATAGCCACACCAACGAACAAACAAACAAAACAAACACTTGTGATGATAAGAATTACCCGAGCTGCTTGTTGAAGGACTCCTTGTATGACGAGTAGCTCGGTTTTCTCACTTGTTGTGCTCTGCGCTGACTCCTGAAGTATCCTCCTCTTACCCTCATTCTGTGGAAAGAGGTAAAAGATCTCTTTAGAATCACGCAAGGAACTCTTCAATCATGTTCCATTCTGAATCTTCCTTTTCTGTCTGTATGTTCAAGTCTGTACATAATCTAAAGTTATGCACTAACACAAAGAAAAGCACCATGCTATAATAATAATAATAATACATATGATTTATAAGGCGCCAAATCCACTTGATAGTCAAATGCTCAAGGCGCAGCTTGTGCAAAAGATGAAATACATACATGATACATTTATACAAAGTGCGATAGGAAAGGTACAGACATGAAAGTTTATGGTAATCAATTATAAGCTAAATTAAACAGATATTTCTTAAGATTGTTTTTTAACACTTCAGCAGAACTGCTATTCTTAATCCATTGAGGGAGAGTATTCCATAATGAAGGTCCAGCATGAGCGAAGGTTCGCTCCCCCCACTATCAAAAAAGATCTTCCATAATTTTATGTCAGAGAGAATTCTATTAATCTCTTCCGTGCCACTGGCAGCAAATCTTGCTCTAATTTCTATTTTTTGTTATTTTAAACAGTATGTCTGGACTTAAATTGTCCACATTTTTCTTCCTCAAACATAATCATAGCAGTTTATATCCATGAGAGACACTGAAATCTAAATTTTCACTTAAACAAAGCATTGTAAGTCAAAACGTAGCTCTAGAAAGTTAATTTATCCATAAAAGATATTTCATGCCACTTTTTTCACTGAAACCAGGCAAGGAATTAGAAGTTGAAATGTCACTCTAGAAAGATCAATTACGACGATATGGCAAGCCATTTTATCATTTATTCCTATTTCTTGATATCAAGAATTGTTATAGTGAATGATTTCGAGCTCGAAAGTATTACAAGAATTCATTTGGATATCAAGCTCAAAGGTAGTGCAGAAATTCAGTTGAATTCGAACGCAAGAGTTGTGCAGAAACTCATTCTGATTTTGAACGCAAGAGTTGAGCAGAAATTCATTATGATTTCGAACACAAAAAGTATTGTACGAATTCATCCTGAGCGCGCCGTTTTAACATTTATTCCTATGCTAATTTGTTACCAATAAACGTTGCACAATCTTGTTGTAAAGATTGTCCAATTTGCAATTAAATATTTCCATGTGTTTTCTGAATGATTAATTGTAAAATATACGTGAACTTTAAGTGAAACGGTAACGTCAGATGTGATATTTTTAAAGCAAAATAACTTCTAAAAAGACTTACAAATTACACATTGTAAATGCACAATTTGGATCAAAAATTCATTCCTTCCGCATGATTTTGTGATATGTTACCAATTTATTATTTTTTACAATGCATGTTTTGTAAGTCAATTTAGATGTTCTTTTGCTGAAAATGATCAAATCTGACAGTATTTTAACTGACGTGATCGAAAACATTTGAAATGATTGCATAGTAAAAATTTGAATATATTTTTACACACAGGGTAATCTTTGCTACAGGTTGCCCATTGTCTATTGGCAACATATCACAAAATGATTTCTTGATATGATGCTGCTTTAGATTTTTGAAAGACGCATTTTTGAATGTTTTATAACAAGTAATTCAACTGGAAAAATCACATCCAACATTTTCAATGTAACATTAATCAATGGTCTAAATAAACATGTTTAAACAGTATGACATGAAATTTCTATACAAGGAATATCACAGAGACAGTAAATACACTGCAAACTGACAACCGAATTCTTGCATTAGTTGAATTCTCGCGATACGTTGACTTTTGACATCGCACCGCTCAAGCAGGATGAATTCGTCACAACTATTGCATTCGAAATCGAATCACAATGAATTTGTGCACTGGTTTTGTGCTCGAAATTAACTGTGAATGTTTGCACTACTTCTGAGCTCGAAATCAGAATGAATTGTTGCATTATTTTTGCGCTTGAAATCAATTATGAGTTTGTGCAATACTTTTGCGCTAGAAATCTTGATATCAAAAAATTTAATTCTTGATATCAAGAAATATGAATAAATATTAAAACGGCTTGCCATACGACAACTATCCAAAACCAGGTGGCACCTAAGAAGTTAAAGATGCATAGGAGTGGGCTCTTACATGGAATTCAACACCGTTGGGTATTTACCCAATAACATGTGTCAATCACCAGGATTGGCCTGCAGTTTGATGAGCAACAGGCCTTCTGTAATGCCTTACATTTCCCCAAAGTCATGATATCTCACTTTTCCCTCATCCGAAGAGACTCGGGGGTATTTCTTGATAGGCCTATGGGTTCGCTGTGTGCACATGGAAACTGACGACCCACTCCCTTTAAATCATGGCTAGCAGCGTAGGGATAGTTGTTTCCTGATTGGTTGGTCATTTTATGGGGCTTTAAACAGTTCCCTCCAATAGAGATTGTATGTGGGAGGGAGCTTTTTGGAGCTGAACAATCTGACCTCTTGACCGTGCTTGTGTATGTCTATATGCGCATGTCATAATAATTTATCTCAACACAACTGATAACTTAAGGCTTGTTCAGATGCAACATGGTAAACCGATTTTAAAGAAACACCCCCCCAAAACAAAAACAAAAATGGCTAAGGCTTTTTTTTCTTTATGTGCATGAAAGGCAAAACTGTGGGCAACAAAGTTCCTGTATCTATTCACTGAGCTCTGTGTTGTAAGATAGGAAACGTGAAGCGTATTTTACAATTCACGTCATCGTAAAAAACGCTGCGGTTTTGCGTCATATCAGAGCCAGCCTTTAGAAAGAAACATTTCAATTATTACTTTGTAAATGTATACAATATGCTCTATTCATTATAGAGCCTTACCTCTTGAAGTTGATGTTCTTTCTCAGTAATCTTACTCTGATGAGTGCTGTAGATCTTTCTTAATTCATCAACTGATCCTATCAATAAAATACACACATACATCAATGATCCATTTTATTTCATTGCAAATAAAAAAAAAATGTGAACAAGAGCCTTACAAATCATCAATTTACTGGTTGTCAAATTAGAACTATTTTTGAAAGTTCTGATGATTTTTCAAGTATTTCAACCTCACTCAGTTTCCGAGTAGATATTTTTGTATTGACAAATAAAAACATGAGCACAACTAATATCCACTCCAAACTGATCATCATTGCCTTCATCATTATTAAATGATGAATGTTTCCATGGTTACCTGGGAAGATGTTTTCAAGCTGGTCTTCCACACTCTTCATGCCCTTTATCAGCTGGTCCTTCTCTCCTTCGTATTTAGCTGGTGAGAAAGAGATCACAAAGGGAAACAAACACTCAGAACCATCGCTTTTGGATTTTAATTTGGCCTGATAGTCAAGCTTCTTACTTTACAATCATCTTCTTTTTAATCAGTACAGAGCTTCATGCTGAAATCATATGCTGTATTTTACATCAATGTATGAAATAAAAACTCCTCTACATACTTTGACCTACTCTTTTCAAATTTGACAACTGGTCAGAGGATACTTCTGTATTGCATGTCATGTCCCTACCATTGCTCCGCTGAAAGACTGAACTTTATTCAACTTCCAATCCCTCTGATATTGTATGGTATTACAACTCGACGGGTCTATATTATTTAATATTCACCCTCCTGTACCTCAGAACACACAAAAGGCAGCGACAGTATTTCAACAAAACAAATAATAAAACACCTTTGACTATGACGATTGTGGGTTTTTAATCTCCCACAAAAGTCTTATAAAAAAACAACTATGTTTTACCCATGACTGTAGTGGTTTATCTCCTCTTCACCAGAGAGTATTCTGCTCATGCACAGAATTACATGAACAGAGCTGCCAATCCCAACAAATACAAATCCTTTTTTTTGATCGATAAGTGCTTTCTTTTTGCATTTTGAAGAATTATGCATGCATACATTTTACAAACATTTTGTTGAATATGCAAGAATTTGTGATCATTCAATGAACCAATGAGCAGCATGTAACATTTGAAAATCAGAAATCTGTACAAATTATGCTATTTTCAAAAAAAAGAGGAACAATCCTAACTCTCCTATTCAATACTACAGACAAATTTGTACAGGAAGAGGAACATCTGCATTTAAATGATAATTATCTTCTCCCAAAAAGAGGAATGTTCCTCTTTAATCTGAACAGTTGGCATGTATGGAATATGCATGATTTCGTAGTGACTGGTGTTTTCGATGAACCAATGAACATCCCCAAATTGCTGATGTGAGATGCTTGTAGGATACCTTACATGATAGAATGGGCAATTTGCCATTGAAAATGGCACACACACACTAAATACACAAGCACATTTAAAGAGACTTGGTAACATTGTTCAGATGAGAGAAAATGGTGCTAAGGAAGTGACTTCAAAGTAGATGTACAAGATGATCTGACAGTTTGAGTGAGAACAGACCATTATTAATGATACAAATTGGGGGAAAATGATCTGATTGATTCCTTAATTCTCCCAACTATTTTATTACAATTTAATTACATTTCAGGTGAATGTAAATCGTCATAAAGCAATATATTGGCTCTATACAGTGTGAGTCAAAAAAAAGTTTACACCTAGAAAATTGCTAATTATTTTTTAAATCATCCATAAACAGTAAATTATTAGACATCTTATGAAAGAGTGTTTTATCCCAAATCATTTTTGTGTGGTATTTGTTCACGCTTGGATGAACATGAGGCATTGATTGCGAGAGTGCAAAAATCAACTTGCACCAAAATGAGGCCTACAGTATGTTGGGATTAGCAGAGTGAGAGAATGAATTGAATGTATCAAATGAAATGCATTGCCTATGAGTTTTGCAGAAGCAAAGTCACACTCGAAAACACACACACATGCACAAATGTTTGTTTATATTTGATATAAGTCGCATGATTAATTTTGTTAGGGATGTTATTTAGATCTGCGAAGACCGAATTAATACCCAAATCTCAATTGTTTTATTCAAACATCACATAAGCAACTTTGGCGCAAGTGGATTTTTGCACTCTCGCAAACAATGCCTCCTGTTCATCCAAGCGTGAACACATACCACACAAAATGATACTAAATGATTCGGGATAAAACACTGTTTCATAAGATGTATTATAATTTACTGTTCATGAATGATTTTTTAAATAATAGCAATTATCTAGATGTAAACTTTTTTTTGACTCACACTTTATAGCATTCCAGATATCTAAGTGTTGACAGATTTTTTTAAAGCCTGTTTTATGCCTTAATTATTTTCATGGAAAATCGGTTTGGAAAATAAAAAATGATTGGGAGAATTACTGAAAGAGGGTGTTGCACAGTGACGCCTTTACAGGAAAACATGAATATCTTTGTGGTTTGAGAATTTTTTCAGGATTTTTTGCATGTTAGAGGGTTAGAACAGTAAAAAGGATATCATAAGTAACATTTCATATAAAAATTGCATAGTTTTTTCATCAACCTTCAACAATGTTTTAAATGATTCACTTTAAAGAGAAGGTTGGATGGGTTCTGGGAAGAGGTGAAAAAGATATCATTGTATTATGCAAACTATAGTGTGGAAGAAGATCAGATAAAAATATCCCTGAAAAGCATGGCTCTTCAAATGCCTTCATATTCTAAATATGGCATGCAACATCATAACAATTTGGATGGATTTTTATGACACATGTTTGTGTACCGGTAGTCCCATATACATCTTTCTGTGTACAATGCTTGTAACTTTACCAAGACTGGGCCAAATTTCTTATTATTTTGATGATTCCAGAACCTTGCATACAGTACACACCAATACTTATATGCTAGATGATCAACCTTTTCTGATCCATTTCACAAAGTTTCTTTCATAATACAACCGTATGACCAGAACTCATGCAACTTCTTTTTTTTTTTCTTTTTTTGAAAAACATATTTTATTGAGGAAAAGTCAGCAGTGCACTTACTTCTAAAAATTGTACGAAATACGATAAAATCGTACTTGTTGGGAGCTCTGTATGAATATGTATAAGGTTCCTAACAATAGATTATGCTAAATATATTATAGTAACATTTATACAGTGCTACTTAATGCTTAATGTGTCTATATACCGGTAAGCGCTGTATAGGGGGATTATAACTTTAAATGAGACTTCTGTCTTCTTGCTAATCTTGCTAAGCCGGCTACCATGCACTACTTCATTTGATAGAAAACGATTAGCGCTTTGTTCACACTCTTACCAACTTCGTTTGCCAGCTTTGATTTCCTTACGAGTTCATCACATTTTTCCTATGACAAGGAGTGAAAAGAGATAATCAAGCCTTCCCGTAAGTGGGCGCCAGGCGATTTTCACCCAACGGTCCCTGACTTTTGGCATCCGGTAAGACAGAAACAATAAGTACCAGGAGCTGGTCGTTTTTTATTTTTGGCGCCCGGTCTGGGAGAATTATCATTTCCTGCTTCAGAAACTTGCACATGGCTGGCACTAAATGTTCACAAATCTGACAAAAAGCTTATTTGAAACGAGTTAAATGTGGACTGAATGAGCCCTAACAAATCATTTTACAATGAGATTGAGAATCCTAAAATCCTTCTGTGCAGTAGCTGCGAATCGCAGCGCAAATTTTCTTCAATGCTTCAAAATCACCCTTGAAACTTTTGTTTGCAGCGAATTTGATACGGTGCTCTCCATTCCTTGTGTGTTGAAAGTTAGGTCAAACATAGAATTGGCTTGCACATGAACAGATGGCTCGAAGGATTGAGGAAACAAAATTTAAAATGAAGAAATAAACAAGCATTTGTATAGTCATTAGAGATCTAACGAGGTTCATTTGTTGGTCTAATTAATCTCAAATAGAATTTAGAATTCTCTCACTGACAAGTTAAGAACACGTACGATATGTTCTTGGTCGCAGCTACTTTCATATTGCCAGCAGCCGATCTAGTATTGTTCTAGCAAAAAGCTAGCCGGCCAGCTTCCCACCACAAACGTTTTGAGTCCCGGTAATTTTGCGCATTGCAGATCTGCCGCTGGTGCAGTAGACTCTCGTTGACAAACTGCTAGTCCGCTACCTTCCCACCATTGACCATCTGTGTTCCGCAGAGAGTGTGGCGGAAGATTTGTTTGTGAGGTACAATTTTCAGTGCCGAGAACGCACATTACAAACCACTGGTTGCTCTCACCATTATGATCTTTAGATAATATGTTTTTCTTTCAAATTTAAATTATCAAAAAATGTAATTCTGTAAATTTTGACCGTGATTTGTTCGTCCCTTGAGAGACCAATGCCAGTAAATGGGGAGAGCAAACAGTGGCATGAACGGCCTGCCATAGTTCAAGTAAAACTTAAGTCGATCTTAGTCTTTGTGAAACACTCTCCTGGCGTTCCACAATCATTACCCTGGCTTTAGCATGGCTAACATTACGGCACTTGAACTTTTAAGGAACAAATTCCTTCCAGGAACCAATTTACCCTGCCAGGAATCAATTTACCTCAGTAGGGAGGTGGTTCACAAAGACTAAGATAGACTTAAGTTGGACTTGAAGTATGGTAGCCCATTCATGCTACTGGTTGCTCTCACCATTGGTCTCTCAAGGGACATCACAAATCTACAGAATTTACATATTTGACAGTTCATTGTTGAAGAAAAAAGTTACTTGCATTGTAAACTCAAGGTATATTTAAGACTTTGACTTATACAACGGTATGCGATTAATGCCCTTAAAAAGTCTTGAACCAGATGCAAGATTAGAGGGAAAACATCTTAGAAATTATGATATTAAGACAATATTTTTTCCTTCAATAATTAATTATCAAAAAATGTAAATTCTGTAGAATTGTGACGCCGATTTGAACGTCCCTTGAGAAACCTTTGGAACTTTGGAACAGATTACCTTTAAATGTAAAAAACTGTCAAACTATTAACCTATTCAAAACTAGTCTCAAGACACATTTATTCAAAATTGCGTGTGATGATTAATTAACTCTGTTCACTTTGAAGTGTATTCCATATGTATTGTAATTTGTATGTCTATTTACATTTTTAGTTTTGTATAAGATGTAATTGTATATCAGTCTATTTTGTGTGTAGCGCTTAGAGACTTCGGTGGTAAGCGCTTTATAAGTAACGTTTTTATTATTATTATTATTAAACCAATGCCAGGAATGGTTAGAGGAACTAGTGGCATGAACGGCCTGCCATCGTTCAAGTCCAACTTAATTAAGTCTATCTTAGTCTTTGTGAAACACTCCCCAGGTTTAACTTTGCCCGCCTTTGTAATTATGAGTCATGGTAAACAGATTACAACTATGCAAGTTATAATAATAATTATATACCTCACTTAAGAAATCCAGTCATCTGATTGGTCGAAATTGCATTCATAAACTTTAACTATTCCTGTAAAATTCCCGGTAAAATTCTAAACCCATGTAATAGTTCTAAAAAATAGTTCTAAAATCCCAGTAACTATGGTTACCGGGAAAATAGTTCAGTCTTGGCGAAATACCCATAGGTTTACATGTTAAAAAATGGTTTGAGCGATTGCGCGGATACCGAAAGTGTGCGATGAATTGGTTGGTAATTTCAATACAATTGAATCTCGATCGATCTTACCGACAATTTTATCTTGCATTGTTGACATGAAGACGAAAATAAACTTCCAAAAACAACATCTGCCGATAGATCTTGATCTAAGTTCGTGCCAATGCATTGCAAAAGTAAAAAAAGGGCCCGTTTAATGGAGCTGCCGCGAAGCATCCAGCACGCGAAGCCGTTTTCAATCCATTTTAATGTATAAATCAGAGAAAACTGCAAGTAATGATATGAGCGCGCGATGGCCGAGCGGTCTAAGGCGGTGCTTTGAGTCACATCATCTTTGGTACGCAAGAGATCGAATCCCATCTTCGACAACAACAAAAAAAAATTATTATTTATTTTTTAGTCTACTCTCAAAGATACACTCATAAAAAACAACCGTGCAGATAAACTGGATAAAGGCCAAGGTGGTGTCATAAGTTGACTTTTTTTTGGGCATATAAAAGTATTAATGACTGCTTTAATATTCGAGAAATAGTTGTTTTTAAACGCTCTCGGGAAGGTTAGAATTGGGCTATTGCCCTCGGCACGCCTCGGGCAATAGCACAATTCTAACCTTCCCTTGAGCGTATAAAAACAACTATTTCTCTCAAAGCAGTCATTAATACTATAATAATATTCATAATAGTAACATTTATATAGCGGTAGACTGTTTCTAAGCACTGTATTATTATTACCCAGCTTTAGCTGAGCTCCCCTGACTAATAAGGCTCTTTGGCATTCAAAGGATTTCTTCCTACCAGGTACCCATTAACATTACCTGGGTGGAGAGTGGCAAGTGTAGATTAAAGTCTTGCCAAAAGACATTAGTACCATTAAAAGGATGGATAAGATTATAGTACCTCCACTGGTTTTAGCTGACCATTGATTTTTGTGACTGATCTTTCGTCTGCTTCCAATCTTGCCTTCTGGTCATCTAATTCTTTGGATAGCTTCACATAAAAACAGGGGAAAAAAAAAAAAATCATAAATTTTACAAAAAATCTGTAAAATACACCCATCCGGACTTCAAATCTTATCAATATGCTCACACAAAACAACAATAAATGGATAATCCTATAGATCTGTCATTACATTAGTGCTGTGAGTATGTAAGCCTGTAATTTCATATTCTTTTACATGGTCAGTTTATCCATGCGTGTACATGTGTACACGGTATGAAATTTACCAAAAACAAATTTAAAGCAGTATTTCAAACACATCTTCTTCTTATCGAGTCACTACAAGAGTCCTGTCCAGTGGTCCACACAGGCTTTGGCACGGCAATTCACGGCTTCCAGGTCATCTTGGGTGCATCGCTCTGGCAGCAGTAGGCTGACTAGCAGGTGTTTGTTCACATGCTGTTTGTTCGTCTCCTAGACCCCACCTCTGCATTAGGACTCTGTAACGACCGTAGCCAGTTCTTAGGCCATTGAGGCTTAGCCAGGTAGGCCAGGTCTCACTGGAGCCGGTTGCGAGATTCCTTTGGGCTGAGGGAGAGTTTATGTGGATTGGTCTGAAGATGGTTAGAACACAAAGTCATCCTTTGGTTGTGAGGGCTGGTATTAAGGGGCTCTACAGAGTGCAGAAAGCTGTGTCTGAATTTGAGCCGCTTGCCCACTGGCTGTTGTTCGAAGAGTGGGTGGAGTTGTTTGTCCTTTTCTTTCTGGAACAAGATCGACCAACCTTCTGACGTGTGGAGGGGCAATACCGCAGAGCAGGTAGATGTCTTCTACTTTAGTTGGCCTAAGGCAGCCAGTGATTGCTCTGTAAGATGAATTTAGAGCTGGGTCGATCTTGGGTGCATGGGCCGACCTTCTCCATACTGGTGATGCATACTCCGCAGCAGAGAAGCAAAGCGCAAGGGTTGTCGTCCGGATTGTTCTGGCGTCAGTTCCCCAGTTGGTGTTGGCTATAGCTTCTTGAGGATGCTGTTGCAGGCTCCAACTTTTGCCTTTGTGTTGGCAATGTGGTTCTTGTAGGTAAGGGAGTGATCCAGTGTGACGCCTAGGTAGACTGGGTTGGGAGTGTGCATGCTTCAGCCTTTTCCCATACCAGCTGATCCTTAGTTGATGGTTGGCATCCTGCAGCCACATAAGACCAGCAATCCAGCATACATGACTGCCGAATTGTACGACTTCATAAAAATGTGATCCTTGCAATGAATATTGATTTTCCAACTTCTCATTCAATCACCATATTGTCAGCAAAACTTTATTTTTCATTTTCGTTACTTTCCTCCGATGATTTGCTACATTGTCCCCAATGCTGCAATGGTTAGCAATGTTATTTTATATGTACTAAAACGAACGTACAGTGGAAATCAGCGCACATTCCCGCTCAGGGAAATCATTGCACGTGCGTTGGAACAAAGATTTTCTCGAATACTGCATACTAAACCATCACGCTCATGGGAAAGTCAGACCGCAATGATTGGCTTTGTGTGAATGAAGACAAGAGAAGAGACTTGACGGCATTGGATCAAAATTGTAGTGTATAGAAATGATTATTTTATGAAGTAGCATTGGAATTTAAACTTTATTTTTAGACTGATGACAGATATTTTTGTGAAATATTGACTTCAGCAATTTATAATGCTGAAAAACAGGTGATTTTTTTAAAACTTCATTTATCCATGTAGTGAATTAGCTACACATGTAGTGATGGTTTGTTCCTGTACAGGGATAAACGTGTACACGGCCCCAGCACTACATGACATGCTTCATTATCTATCTATTTATCCATGGATAAAAATGAAAACTTGAATAATGATTTTTTTTTAAACAATATAAATTTCTTTTCTGACTTCAAATTTGTTTGGAAAAAAATCCATGGATTATCATGCTTTCATA